AGCTTCAGCTGGTGCAGAATGCAGCAGTGCAAGCAGTTAATGGCAACATGTGACACCACTACACTATGAACTGCATTGGTTTTCTGCTGGAGGCAATTTAAACTACCTTTAAAGTCCTTCAAGGCTAGAGATTGGGGAACTATGAGACAATCTCTCTTCAATTGTTTTTACTTGTCTCATCTGTTCTGGGTGCCATTGGCTAAATAGTGTCAACTGGTAGGGCTTAAAATGAGGGCCCTTTCTGCAGTAATACACACCCTGTTTAATATCATTTCCTCTTGAGATTAGGTTAGCCCTGGCCCTGCTGGCTTTTCAGAAGCAGAGATGGTATTCAGCAGATTCTGACCAGTTCTGGAAAACCAATAGCAGAAATTTTGAGTACTTCGTAGAACCGGCAAATACCACCTCGGACTGGAGATTTTACAGTATTCTTCCCCTGCCATGCCCACCAAGCCATGCCCCAGAACTGGTAGTAAAAAAAATTGAATCCCATCACTGTTCAGAAGGGCCTAAAAATTTGATTTTCTGCCTAACAGAAACCCAAATGTGTGACAGAGCCCAACTCTTGACTTTGTTCATAGTTATTTTATGAAGCTCAGCTGCCATGTGTTTTTATTTTATATTATACATTTTATTTATTTTCATCTATTTTACTGTAACTTGGGTAGAGTCGCATATGTGAGACATGTGATTATATAAATTAAATAATTCCCCTTCCAGATCAATGTTCTGATGAGCTTATTAGTCATTTATCAAGGATACTTTAAATTCCTGCATAGAACAAGATGATGAACTAAATGCAACTTTTAAAATTATGAGCTTGGTTTTAGCTTCAGTCATCAGAATGTATTAGGCTGTCCCTGAACAAAGCAAATTTGTAGGTGCTTAAAAGACAATAACTATGTAATTTCTTAATAATTGAAACAGATGCTTATAGTACATATGTCTGAGGACATCATGGTTTTAATTGTTTTGGTCACACAGCAGTGAGACACTTTCAGTGCTTGCACACACACACACACACACACACACACACACACACACACACACAAACTACAATTTCTTCATCCTGCATAAATGCTATAAATATTAGGTTGATTCTCAAAAATATAACTACTGAAGAGGAAAGAAATTATACCATGTTTCTCACAAAATAAGGCCGGGCCTTATTTTTTTTTACCCCAGAAAAAAACGGCTAGGCCATCTTTTCAGGGGTGACTTAATTCCCCCCTTGCATCCTCGGGTGGGCGGGCAGCGACAGCTTGGATGTTGACCTCAGCGTTGGTTGGGCACTTCATATCGGGAGACCTTCCGCCACCATTGCTTTCCCTTCTCCCTTGCTGCTGCAGCGTTTAGAGCAACGCCGCGGTGTTTGGCACAGCCATGTGAGGCCAGCCAGGGCAACCGGCTGGCTCCCTGCAACTGGAGCCCAGTGGAGACACTCAACTTCAGGCACTCCTGTCACCACTTTCCCTTTGCCTTTGAAGGTAAAGCCAATTATTTTAAAAACAAAGCCTCCCCTGCCCAAGAGGGCAGCCCAACCCCACCTGGGGAGGCCAATCTCCTGGGGCCACAGCACAGGATTGGCCCACCTCGGGAGAAGTGCCCAGCCACCATCCCTGCCTAGTGATGGGCAGAGCGCAAAGAGCTTTGCCTGGGATGCCCAACGCAGCTGACAGGCGGGCCCTCCTTCCCGGCCGCAGAGCTCTCACCAAGGCAGCGAACGCCTCCCCACCGGACCCTCTGCTCATCCCGTCAGGGCCACGCCAGGGCCGTGCAGGCTGGGCAGAGCCAGGAAAGCAAGCCACGGGTACGCGCCTGCCTGCCAAGCAAAAGAGCCAGGCCGACCTGAATTTGGCTTCCTTCCCAAGTCCCTCCAGCGCAAACCCAAAGGGGCCACTGGGACAGGCTGCCCGAGGCAGTGATAGCGCCCACCCGTCCACGGACAGGGAGGCAAGGTGATGGCAGCACTGCTTCCCTGGCCGGCGGAGAGAGCCCAAAGCCGCCCATCCTTTCCACCCCTCGCCCAGCCCGTCCCCATCCCCACGCATCTCCAAATGCGCCGGCAGCTCCGAATGCTGCAGCGGAACGGGCATCAGGCAGAGGTGCTGATTCGGCGGGGCTCAGCTTGGAGGAGGATGTGGCGCAGGCTGTCTGACCTCCTCTGACTGCTCAGCCAGCCTCTGCCCTTTCCCAGCCTCCTCCACAACCTCCGGAGCCACATTTCCACTCCCTGTCCTTCCACTCCCTGTCGGCTGTTCCTCCTCTCCCTCAGAGTCAGTCTCCACCAGGGGCATGACAGTAGCTCAGTATATGTAGCAGTTTTAGTCACATGTGGCTTATCTCCTTTTGGATGTGGAACATATTATTTGACAGTAGGAAAACTCTCTAACAAGCAAGCAGGTATTTTTCTCTAAATGGTTCTTAGATATGATTTTCCATTTGTTTTGTTGTTTGCTTTTTCTCTTTTAGCCAAATAAAAATTTTCCTCAATCTTGTGCTTCTTTAGAAAGCTAAACAGCAACACTTGAAATGATCAAGAGCTGGCCAAAATAATTATTAATGTCATTGTTATTGCCTTTTATTTCTTTAGTTATTACACTTTTGAAAAACTGTATCTTTTGGGCAGCCTGCGAAGATTAAAATTCCCAATTTTCTTAGGCTTTGAAAGGTAAGCTCTCTCAAGGTTTTTCCATTGCATAGCTTTATGCCACTTGACTCCTGGCTAAAAACTGGCTGGAAATAAATCCACCTTAAAATTTGCCTTTCACTTTCAGCCCTTTTCTCTACTCTAGCTACAATGATCACCCATTATTCTCTCTGGACCAAGGGACCGCCGTTGATGGTTCCTGATTTTTTATCCTTCCCACCCATGCCAGGAGAGCAAATAACTATTGCTTTCTTTTCTGTCCTTTCCATAGATAGAACTTTTGTATGCACTCCTTTAGGTGAGTCCCCTCCATACCTGTCTACTCTAGAGCATCTACAAATAGACCCATAAAAAGAAAATATTAGCCTTTTATTATTATTTTGGTACAGTACTTGAGCTAAAAGAGGAAGCTGGCAAAATTCTTGTTAATTTCAAGGAAGAAATGACAAGGAAGCATTCCACTATTTCATGTGTGAATTTGTGCAAAAAAATTCAGAAACTCACTGATCAAATCAGTTAACTCTAAATTTCAAAAAATGTGTGACGCTAATCATACTACATTGGGCAAGCATAAGCCTTGCATCTGATGCAGTAATTTGGGAATACTGTAAAAAGACGTAAGTTTCCATAGTTTAGTAGTAGTTGCTGTTTCCCTTATGTAGTTTTTCATGAAAATTGATAAAAATGAATTGGTGATTTCTGAATTTACCATGTCTGTATATGGGAAGAAAGGAACTATATTATGTAATTTATGTAATTACATAATTTATGAGGGGAAGTGTTATAATCTACAACTGCTGTAAAGAAGATTGGAAATCACATCTTTAACTATTTTGTTTTCTTTTTCTCTTTTTCTTTGCTCCATTGTTTTCAACACTTTTTATCTTTCCTACTTTTCTTCTATTTTTTCCTGTTTTATCTGTATTTCTTTAAAAGAAAATAACACCAGTTGATCTTTCCATGAACTAGCAAAATGTTCCTATTAAACTGGGGGTGGGGGGGGGGGGGGGGGGGGGGGGAGGAAGCTGAATGAAATATATTAGAAATATATTTAAGTATTTTGTCTAGCCTTGTTAAAACTATCAGCCCAAGCATTTATTTTGCCTTTCCTAAGGAATCAGAGATTAAAGCTGAAAAAGGAATGGATTAGGAAGAAACTAAATCCAATTAGCATAGAAGCATTCCTGTTTACAAGTCAACAAACAGGAGGAAGATTAACATAGAAGTAGGTTGCCATCTGATAGCATCATGATAAGAACCTTCTGGGGACAGATTAAACTAGGTAAAATTAGCTATCAACGCAAACAAGATGGATTGACTCCTATGCTAAACAAGGATATGTCAGAGGCAATTACACTGAGTTGAGGAGGGCAGGGAAAAGAAAGAACATCATTTGCACAGGAGTCTTCAAGTCTTACTTCACTGCTATTACCTACATTGATTTGATCATCATAGGATTATATGTATTTCCAAGAACTGTAAGCAATTTTATTAGAAGAATCACTTTAGACATTTCTTGAATAAGGTAAGATTGTAAATAATTTTTTGGCTAAGACATTGAGAAAAAAATCCAAACATCAATAGGTAGGCAAGTGGTGGAGTGGAGAAGATTCAGTTAGCGATAGGCTGTACTATAGTGATGTCGAACTCCTAAATAATTTCTTTGAAGTATATAAATAAAGTGTGGTCTGATTTGATGAACGCCATCTAGAAATAGATTCGTTGACTTATAATGAGGCAATGTCGTTGTAGAGAACTCATTGATGTTTCTGGTGTTGGCAGGAAATTATTGTTATGTGACTTAAAGTAGAATGTGAGAACCTTCATTAAGAATAAAGAGTTTTTTCTTACCCATTGTTTTTCATGTGAAGACAAGCAAAATAAGTTCACTTTAATTGTTCCCATATTTTGCCATATCTTTAAATAGCATGTTCACATACAAAGAAAAAATTGTGTAGTCCTTGAGATCTTGAGGTCAGTTTGTGTTTATATAATTGGTGCAATCTCATTAAATTTAGCGAAGAATCTGACATAGGCTACCTGGACTGACTGCTCTAAAATTTTATCCATTTTGAAATTCAGGGGTGATTTTATCACTGATCAAGAAGAAATACAAATGTATGCAGTGAACAACAAAAAAGAAAAAAACCATATCCTCTGTTTCAAGTGGCTGGGAGGAAAGAGAGAAATAGCATTATGTAACAGCATTAATTAGTCTATCTAGTTTGAAGTGTATAATGACGCTGTACTAGTTAGAATTTTCAATCTTTGTTGCATCAAATGTTATATGACCTCTCTTCTCCAACATTATTAATGGCATTATTTTCTCTTTTAGAAAGGAGAATTTTAAAAAGCCAAGTATCTTACTGTAACTCAAGATGTCTGATAATGCTGCAGCTGCTAACCTGAATACAAAAGAATCAACAGGTCCAACTACCCCACGCAAGGGGCCTCCTAAATTCAAGCAAAGGCAAACAAGACAATTCAAGAGCAAGCCTCCCAAGAAAGGAGTAAAAGGGTAGGCATTACTATCCAGAAATCAAATGATTACGTACCTGAAGATTTTGCAACAGCATTCTCCAACTTGTTCCTTCCAGAAGATTTAAACAGTGGCTTTCTTAACTTTCCTAATTCTCAACTACTATAGTCTTTGGTTTTTTTCAAAGACTTCTTGTGTCAGGGATGCCTGGCATCTTGATAATGCCCAATTACACTTACTAGCGTATAAGTATTTAGTAGTTACAGTTACTAGAGGCATGACCCTAATATTCCCTATTCTTCATTATAAACAACCCTGTACATACCTCCTTAGAAATAAGGTTTTTGAGTCCAGTTGAACTTTCAGTTAAATATGAATAGCAGTAAAAATACACATTCTTGGTGGGAGGGGGAATATGCATGTAAATGAACATATTTTTGTGAGAATGCATGAGTGTGTATTCTTCCTTCATTTACTGCTGCCTTTAATTCTCTTCCTCATCTTTCTTGTGTTAATTCTCATTTTAAATGAATATATAGAGATAATACATAGAAATTATTCTAGATTTCAAACCATAATATAAGTTGCAAGTGTTACAGCTATCTTGGTGCAATCTTAATAAAGTGCAAGGAAATAAGCCCCATGATACATAATGGGATTTATTTCTGAGCATGTATACGTAGGATTGTATTGTAAATGGAATTGATAAGTGTAATGTAGTTGGTAAGAGCTGTCAACATAGTACCCTTTTCAGAACTAAAGATATAAAATTCGTTCCATTTCTTGGACTACTTATAAAATGGAATGATGAAATTTTCTGAATTATCAAATTGAATAACTACTGTACTTACCAAAACCAGTACCTCTATTAGTATTGGCTTACATATTAAATGTGTACATATATAATTATATTTAAATGGGACATATGTCTATGTTTAATTGTTTTATATTTTAAGTCTTAGATAAGACACCCGTGATATGTGCATAGATGTCTATGTTAATAAAGTCAATCAGGGTGGTATGATGACAGAAACATTTTCAAAGGGCTGCAAGAATAGTGTTTATTTGCTTTGGTCTTTGTTTTTTTAATTGAAATAGTATTTCCTATTCTGTTCGGTTATTTCCTAAGGTAGCCAATTTGAACACTAAAAGTTCATTAGACATTAAGGGGGCTTTAATTCCTCTGACCTAAACAATTAGCATGTAATTTCAAGAAATAGATTATATCTTAATTTGCATTATACTTCCAGAGAGTCTATATTTTAGATCAGAACACTGAATGGCAAAACATGATAATTCAAATGTAACATCCTAATGAAAATCACATTCAAGTCCTAGAACTGAAAAAGTCCTTACATATTAATGTTTTGTCATTCTGCTATTGGGTTAGGAAAAAAGTATTGTTGTGTGTATATGGTTTTTTTTTCCTCCTTCCTTCCCTCCTCCGTCTAATTCATCTTCTTTCTCTGCTTTCTTTGTCCAAAGTTTTGGAGATGATATTCCAGGAATGGAAGGACTTGGAACTGGTAAATAATATAGGAAAATTGTGTTATTAATACAGACTATTTAATATAGAGAATGTTATGTCTTGGTTCCTTCACTTAATTAATCTCCTACCTATAATCAGTAAATTTTGCAGAAACCATTTTTATGAGAAATTAATCAGTTGGCTGGTGCAGGTCACTATATAGGTCAGAACAAACTGGCAGTTTGATCTATCCTTTACATGCCACCTATCTGAAAAGCCTCTGATTTAAAAACAGTGTTCAACTCAATTCTTATTCCAGTCACTATCAGCACATATATGGAGTACTGCAGTGCACTGTACATAGGGTGCCTTTCCAGTCAGACGATACAAAATGTTGTAGTCAATTTCCTATAAGTACTAATGCCCAATAGCCTATTAAATGTGTGCTTAAGGCCTAGATTATATGCCAATAAGCTTCTGAATGCAATTTAAAATAGTGGTCACCAACCAGTGGGCTGGAGACCACTGGTGGTTTGCAAGAAAATTTTGGCGGTCCACAGAGAAATGTCACCCCCAGAACACCCCCCAAGCAATTAATCCAGGCTCCATGGGAACACAAGGCTTGCATCGCTTGCATTGCAAACAACACAAGGTAGTGAGGGGAGAGGGGAAAGGACGGAGGGGAACTTGCCCCACTTGCCCCATGTGCCTGGCCACCGGGCTGCTTCTTTTTCCTTCTTTCTTTTGCTTTTGGCTGCATGCAAGGAAAGCAGTAAAAGTCTTTCTTTCTCTCCCCCAAACTCCGCCAGAAACTCGTCTTTGGGACTCTGCAAGGCTTCCTGCTCCAAGAAGATGTGCCGGCATGACAAGTCTCACAAAGACTCATTTCTGGCGGAATTTGGGGGAGAGAAAGAAAGACCTTTGCTGCTTCTGCTGCTTTCCTTGCATGAAGCCAAAAGTCTCTCCCCCCCACCCCCGAGAACAGAGCTGGAAATGGTATCCTGTGATCCCAAATAAAGAATGATCAATTGGTAGGAAAATGATGTGCGGAATTTTCCTGCAGACTTTTTGGGGGATTTTCCCAGGGTCTCTGCTACTTTCTGCAGAAACCCTGGGAAAACATCAGCAAGCCACCATCAAGTCAAAATTCATATTATTTGTCCACGGGATTTAAAATTATGAGTTTGATGGTCCCTGAGGTCCAAAAGGTTGGTGACCCGATTTAAAACACTCGTTTTGTCATATGTAACCTTCTAACTTTGGCATCAATGCAGTATGACTTTCTTGAGAATCTATCCACATCGCTTCTCGGCCTTTTGGCTAAGATCAAGTGTGTGAGAATCTATCCACACAATATAATCTAAATTATTAAGGATTTTTTAAAATGTTATGTTCTTCATGGACTTCATGTTCTTCAAAGTACCTCCTGTTCTTTATTTCATTTGAAATCTAGACTAGCCTTTCTAGAATCATGCATGTAGTTCTTATATTTCAAATTCTGGCTACAATATTTTAATTGATGGCCTCCTTAATTCCTTTGGGGAACTTTCCATTATTCTAGAAGATACTGAATCTGATCTGATATTATGAAATCACAATGCAAAATTTCACCGCATATAGTTTTGAAAGAGTTAAAATGTAACTAAGGCACTAGTATATATTCCACACTGATTACCTGAAAGTACAGCACTCACCTATTAAGGAGGTGATCGGTCTGGAAGGCTTTTATTTCAGCCAATTATAACCTATGTTTACCTTACTGGCAAGCTTTTTGTTTGACCAGATTAATGTTCTCCGTTCATATTAATGGAAGGGAAATAAAATAAAAGCCCAATGAAATTTCTTTTATCCACACTTGCTAGAAAAATCAGAGACCTTTAAGTGTGTATTCTCAATGGCCTGGTACTGCACAAATTTAATTATATTCCTTTATTCAATAATTTAGTAGGTCAGAAAAGGAGAATACTTGTCTTGCTGCATTTGTCTGTGGAAAAAAATTGGGGAGCTATATCAGTTGTTACAAATAAATAAATTCATATAATGTGTCACTAAAAGCTGGTCATTTGTACCATATACAGTATACAATTTCAGATGAGAAATATAGTTATAAAAGTTTCAAATACAATGCAAGAACTGGCAAAATTCACTAGAGCTGGACTTATGACTCTAACAGAACATCCGTATACTGCAAAAATATTTTGATAGGATTCAGAAATGCCTTTAGTTTTTTCTCCTGCCTTCTTTTATGAGACACCATAACAAAAAAGAAATAGCTGATATCTTCAAAAATAAAATAAATGGACTTGTAATTGGCAAATAATGTATAATGGTTTTAGAAATGAAATTGTATGACATTTCAGACCAGAAATAGAACAAAATAGCCATCAATTCCTAATCTGACTAATAGCATATGTTAGATTAAGGGCTACTTCCATTTTCTGTGCAAATGTACACTTTAAAGTCACCTTAGAAATGACCTCCAGAAGAATAGCTAAATTCTTCTTGAATGCCATTACTGTTTGTCACAAAATTGTTTAGTTTTCCTTGTTAAGAAAGATATAGATCCTCTGAGCACAATTTTAAGACTGTCATTTTCTGATTTCACAATATTGAATAAAAGTTAGTGATAATTAACAAATTTATATTCATTTATTCATATCAATTTTCCAAAAACTATCATTTCAGTAGCCAACAATTTTAGTTACATTTGAATTAAGTCTCTTACTGATATTTCTTCTAATAATTGACTGTTGTTAGCTTAGAGCAATTTTTGCTTAACTTGTTATATAATAATATTTTTATTGTGTTGAGTAATCCTGTTTTAGTCACATTATAATAATGAAGTTAACTACATTTTAAGAAAAATGTTAACATGAGATATTTTTGCATGAAGTTAAAACTCACAAATATCCTTCTTATATGACCTTGTTATAGTTTGATCACTTGCAGAAATTTCTTTGTCTCATTTGCAGATATCACTGTCATCTGCCCCTGGGAAGCTTTTAGCCATCTGGAACTTCATGAATTGGCACAGTTTGGAATAATATAATCAACCAAAATTCCTGCTTGTCTCTGATGGCATCCGAAGCTCCTATCTTGGTTACAAACAATTCTCGTTTTCATCCTTCCATTTAAAATATTAACATTTTACACAACAGATGGTTTTGTAAATAAGGATCAGCAATGTGAAACTTTGGTCTTGGATTCATTTTTCAGAAAATTATGAAAGTCTTCTAAAGCAGTGGTTGTTAACCTTTTTGAAAGAATCGCCCCCTTGAGCCATTGAGGAAGTTATCATCTCCCCACTCTCCCAACATAACCTCTCAATCACAACACAGGGAAATAATTCTTCAATTTATGCAAACACGTTTTTTGTTTTCTTTAAAATTGCCATCAGGACATATCAATGCAAATAATTTATTTCCAGTCTTTTTCCCATATCTCAACTGTGTGAAAAATTCTGATGCCACCCATCACTTTACTCCCAAACTTCGTGATACACATATTTCATTATTATCTAATTTATTCAAGACACTTAAATGCAGTGACCACTGAAAACAAAATTCAATGGCAAGAAAATGAAATGCCCGAAAAAAACAGTAACATTTAATTATTTAATTACAAGTGAATTTTAAGACGCAAAAAGAAATATAAATGGGCATAAGAACAAACCGCAATGCAGGAACTAAGAATTTTAAGACGAAAACTCTGAAACCAAATTAAGATTCGAGGAAAATATATATTCATGCACACTGTAGTAAAAAGGGTTAAAAAGACACAAAGAAAATTTTTACAGAAGGAAAGCAACAAAAATCAGAGCGACAAATTTAATGGGTAGAGTGATAGAGGCGACTGCACAACACGCATGAAGATGACTGATGCGTATTCACATATGTACGGCGTTCTGTACTGAAGCTAGCTGGAGGAACATTTTAAAACACAGTTCAATCCACTAATGCTTTCCCCCCTTACACAGCTGAAGAAAACTTTATTGTGAACCAGCTAAGCTGTACTGTAGCATATAGATTCCAATGGTTTCAAGCTTTTTATTGGTGCTTCCAGACACAACATTTACTCTCAAATGGCTGATTATATTCACGTAAGTTTTTGGTGGATCTATAATCTATTGTTTTTAACTCTCAAATATTTTCTACATCTTTTTCCTTGCCAGAAAATGTCCGTTAAGAAAAGGAAAAGCAGAATAGTGGTACGGTGCCTTTTATTGATAATATAAGACCTATCCATTTGGACACTCCATTTATTTATGGAAGCACATCTTAGATATCTCATAGCTGCTTATGTTGTTATTGCTGTTGGTCATCTATTCCACTTTACCCTTGCAATTGTGGTACACAATTCCAGTAAATATTACTATTTATCTGATTATTATTATATATTCTCCTAATTTTATTCCACCACTAAGTTTTACTGTGTAGTTTTTTATACTTCGTTGTTCACTTGGAATAGACCCAAAAAATTCTAGGATGAATCTTTGCTTTAGGGTAAAGTTGAAAATATTGTTGATTTAGAACTCTCGGAATCCCTCATCATCTATGTTGATAGAATCTCTTAGGAGTTGCACTTCAGCAATATTTGAAGGACAGCAAGCTCATATATATCTTATTTTATTAATGAAAACAAATAAAGGGTGAATCAGAAGGAAGATCAGACCAATCCTCTATATCTGATATTCTGGATCTGGAAATGCTCTGTTGTCCTATTAGCAGCATGGCCACTGAACTGACGGATTTCTGTATAGTGTAGGGTTTCATCTTAAATGTCTTCTATATGACATTCAGGATGAAGTATGTTATAATATTTCACCATTGCATATTTGGGGTGTATTTATTTTTCCCTTTTACTGTTGATTTTGATTTGTACCTTTTAAAGAAAGATAGGGGTTGTCAGAGACTATTTTATTTACTTATTTATTCATCACTCCATCAATTTCTACACTGCTTATCTTACCCAAGTTTAAAATAGCAAGCCATTAGTTTACATATATATGATTACTTCTGAACATACGTTTGCCATTGAGTTACTAATTGGCTTCTAGGTCAAATTGTTTTGCATTTTTAAATGTTTTTATTTTATGTTTTCTAATTATACTTTTTATTCTGTTTTCCCCTGAAATTCCTGATTTCTCTGCTCTCTGAATCCCTTATTTCCTACTATATTTTTATATGGCAACCCAGACACACACTGAAATGAATTGGAAAGCAATCACATAGACTGGAAAATGGAGTTTTTTCCACACAAATGTGTTTAGAATTATAGTTCAAATAATATTTATCTGAATAAATAAATAAATAAAATTCTCCTTCTCAATTACCTAAGAGGTAATGGTGTCTCAGTCATGGCTTCATCTTCTAATATTTATAAATATAGTTAAGAATATAAATATGCCTTCATTCTTTTACTATAAACTTGTTTTAAAAATTGCAGTAATGCTTGGATAGAATTCTCTTTTTAAAACTAATACATGCTTCATATCAATAACATTCCTCATGTAAAATGATAGAAAGAAAGGGAATAGTAATTAATTCCAAAAAAAGTTGTTCCTATAGGAATGAGGGGGGTAGAGTCAGAAATCTGGCTGCTGGTATCCTAACATATATAATAGGTGTTTAATATGCTTCAGCGTCAACTTTCATTACAAGCATCTTATGAAAGCTTACTTAGAAATTTGACACAATTTCAATAGAGATCTTCCAAATGAATCAATGAATGCTATTCTATTTATCTTTTATATATATATTGGATATCAGATCACATTCAGTATAAACCAATGTGAATATTTGCACATGAAAGAGATACACTGCATTATCAGGCTCCCTGGAGTATCTTATGCCATTAGTATAAGTGTATCACCACGGAAACCACCAGAGTTAATATAAATAATTTATAAAACTGGGTCCCTAACCTCTTTTGTACTATATATATATATTATCCAACAGTGTACGCTAAAGAACTACTGAAAGTGTTTCAGACTCCCTAAATCTGAGTTCTCTGGAGGTGCTTGACTACATTTCCCATAATTCAGTTGTTATTATGGGAGTAATAATTCAACATATCTAGAAAGTGCAAGGGAGGAAAAGAAATATATATTATAATAACAGAGGCAAAAATATCTTCACTGAGCTGGTCTATATTTTATGATAAGAACTATATTCTATGATAAGAAAGCAATACCCTGTCTGCTCTCCTAAATTGATTTCAAGTCACAAATTCTGCTTAGCTCTAAGAGACAGAATCACTCAGAATCAAAAATAAGCAAATAAAACATTTGTGTTTGCGTAGGGAACCAAAGTGTGGATTTGGTTTTATTGTTTATATAAGATCAATGTTAAAGTGTGGTTAATGATTATATTTTAATAATCTGATATTAATTGAATGTGAAATTATAAGCAACTATTCTCAAAATGTTCATGAGCAGAATAAGACAGATCCCATTTCTTTTCATTTACTGAAAGCTATAGATTACTAGTTCACATTTCCCATGGATTGTCTTCTGTCCATGGAAGGGAAGCTTGGTAGATTCTAAATTTCATAATTTGTATTTATTCCTTTGGCAGGCTATGTATAAGAACAAGCTGCAAAGATCTTTAGAAACACTTTTCCAATGATACATAAAAATATGATTTATACTATTATAACTCATTTGTATTATTTATTTGCTTTTTTTTCTTATCCTGCTTCTCACATCACATTTACATTTTTGAATCATAAACATTAAATCTTTGTTATTCTTTCCAATGATCCATACTAGTGCTTTAGAAACATAATTTCCAGGTTTACCTACAGTAAGCAAACAAATCACACTACTTAAATAAATTTAACATTACTTGTAAAAAATATTTACTATATTTCAAGAATTAGGATTCTTTCAGTCACAATCTTATTCCTATTCAATTTAGCTGATTTTAAAATGTAATGTAAAATTATAAGCACATAAAAAGACAACAGCAGAAACAGCTGCAAATTTACTCAACAGTTCTATGCATAGCAACATTTCCATTTAATAAAATTCCTTGCTCTTCCCAAATCTATTTCAGCGTTAACTTTCTATGTTTACACAAATAATGGGAAATGACAGTTTGTGGGCTGGTTCAAATTTCTTACGTATTCTAAAAATTATGTCACATATGATGCACTTATAGGTATATAACTGACAGTACAATTGGCAGTGCAGACATGCCAAATGCTTCCAAAGTCAAGTCAAAACCAAAATACATATATACCCAATTTTTTTCTCCCATAAATTTTTGGTTAATGTACCTGTTCAAATGACAGGCTCTGTACTTGTACAGGTGGCCGATTATGTCAGTGTGCAGAAATGCGGACAACTACAACCCTCTGCTTTTTGCTGCATGGGAATTCAGAGCTGAGATGAATTTTTGTCAATCTCGGCCGGATCTTCCCAGGATATGAAGGCTGGGAGGGAAACGCACAATCTTCACAATGCCACCATGCAGGTAAGCGCATTTCTCGGCAATCTTTTTCCCCCTTGTGCTTCTGGGAAGCGATTTCACCAATTCCCTCTCCCTGTAAGTAGCAGAGTTGAGAACAGGGCGCAGTGCAACCAAAGAGTGTAAGCCAATTAAGAAAAAGATAGTCAAATATTCCTCTTTTTTCTCCTTTTCTGCTTCGAGTCCTACGCCCGTTTTCGGGGGGAAAGCGGAGGCATCTATTTCTCGCCTCTCCTGCCGCGAAAGCGGGGCTGCCTTTCCATAAAACCAAAGTGCCTCCCGGGAGAAGGAGCGGAAAAGGCGAACGATTCTAGGAAAGAACCGGCTCGCTTGGGGTTGCTATAGTAACGGTCTCCTTGTTGGAATTCACGGCTGCCGCTGCCGCCGCCGCCGCCGCCATCACAGGCCACGAGAGGGTGCCGAGGCCACGCCCTGGCAGCGCAGCGGTTTGACATTGCTGCGGGCTGGATGCTGAGGTCGAAACTGAAATTTAGCCATGCGAGGTTAGGGATTCCCCTTCTTTCCCCGGCACTGGGGAATCAGCAGCCACGCGTTCATACAAGGTGAGGGAAGAGAGCACGGTGGAAGTGTGCAACGCTGAGCTCGAATGATTCTAAATGAGCGGGAGGTAACGGAAAATTGCAGAATACCTTATGCCACCAGACTTGAAATTCTAGACCTAGAAAATCTAGAACTACGCCGCCTTCGGTCCAATCTAAGTATAGTATATAAAATTATACATTGCAATGTCCTACCTGTCAATAAATACTTCAGCTTCAACCATAACAACACAAGAGCACACAATAGATACAAACTAAAGGTAAACTGCACCAAACTTGATTGCAGGAAATACGACTTAAGCAACAGAGTGGTCAATGTCTGGAATACTCTACCTGACTCTGTGGTTTTTTTCCTCAAACCCCAAAAACTTTAACCTTAGACTGTCTACTATTGACCTCACCCCTTTCCTAAGAGGTCTGTAGGGGGCGTGCATAAGCACACCAACGTGCCTACTGTCCCTGTCCTATTGTTTCTTTTTTATTTTTCTTATATGTATCCATTTCATGTATCCATAACTATGTTTATACTTATACCTGTTATCTTATAATTGCTTGACAAAATAAATAAAATAAAATAAATAAAAGCACAGCAGGCTGTGGATTCCAATCCCCCCACGTAAAGGCGATAGCTCTATGAAGCCAAGCAGATTGTCGACTAATAGCAATGGAAGATTTTGAATTCTTCAGAATGCAAGTGAGATGGGGAGGGAGGATCTGTTTGATGGATTATGATCTGAGATAATTTCCAGACTCATCTACTGAATTGTGGGCCATAATCTTCCATGTTCAACCAAATAGGACTTGTGATGCCTTCAAGTTGTACTTTGGATTTTCTCTAGGACTCCTGAAATAATTACAGTTATTGACCTGCTGAAAAAACCCCATTTTGATGTAATAAATCCCATCTATTTAATTGGATCGATCTCCATCTAGCAGAAATTACCTAGAAATTTTTTAACTAGCATTTTTGCAGAGTTGATGATTTATTAAATAGGAAAACCTTAGAGCAGTGTTGCTCAGTCTTGCAACTTTAAAAAGTGTGAACTTTAAATTCCCAGAATTTCCTGGGAAACTCTGAAGTCCACATATCTTAAAGTTACTTAGATTGAGAAACATTTCCTTAAAGTATGCATCTGCATATTGCTTTTGATAGAGAAGAATATTTGTAGCTCACAGTTGAACTGTGATGTCCTTGGTGCCTCTCTGTGATTGGTTGTTTTCCTGCAGATGTTTCATTGCCCAACTAGGAACTACATACTCTGATAAACAAGCTAACAGTAAACAAAAGCCTAATGAAGGAACCACCAAGAACACTTCCACCCACACTGACAGGATAAGCCATTAGTATATAAATTGAGAAAAATCCAACTCCCTTTTAGCACTGAAGATGTTATCTATTTGGGTGTGGCAAATCATTGTACACATGTTGTACTCTGACAATAAAGGTTTGAACTTGAACTTGGTAATGAAAGAAAACAAGGAAGGGCTCAAGAGAGCAACAAGGACCCACATAATGTTTTGATGTTCACTAGGAACAGAATTGCAATCTGTTGATTTTTTAGTTTAAATCACAGCTTTTATCAGCTGTCACAAGCTGAGGAATTAAACTAAGGGTTATCTTTCAGATGGGAGAATTATATACCCAGTGGTGTATTAACCATTAAGCAGACTAAGCACATGCTTAGGACACCAGGCCCAAAGGGGGCACCACAAAGTTGAAAATATGGCTTCGCTTGTACAGTATGTACAAAGGAGGAGAGCACCAAGATTTGTCAGTGCTTAGAGCACCAGTGAGGCTTAATCCGCCATTGTATATACCCATCCTTGTGCAAAAATACTTTTTTTTTCAAGCAGAATAATTGCTTGCAGATACAATCATGTATTTTAGGCTGAATAACATGGCTCTTTAAAGCTGGAATTCTCTTTTAAAAAGTATCCACCCTTCTCAGATGCTTCTCTGCCTGCCTTCTAACTGTAGCGTAATCAAAGTCCATCTTTGAAGTACCCAAGACTCTGTTGGGCTTAGCTGTCACAGGACCTTGCCCCAACTGCACCTACATCAGCACAACAACCTCTTTTTTCTTCATGACAATGTCCTTTTCTCATCCTCAACCAGTATAAATATATGAAGTAACCACAAGACTGGCAGCCCTAAATCCTTAGATTTTCTAGTCGGTTACACCTTCAGTGGATCATTATTCTTGATTTATGTCTTGCTGTCAAAGGATAACATTACTGAGAGACAATGGAAATTACTAGCTTTTTCTTTACCAATATATTTAAAAGTTGAGGTTTGAAAGCATTATATTAGTAGATTTTAAGAAATTTTACCAGGCAGGAAATGTGGTACAGAAGAGGCAGTCACTTTGTCATACTTTTCTGTTTCTATGGATACATCTTTGTAGACCTCACATGGCATAAAATAATAATTTTGTAATAATTTATTACCTGTATATGCTGGCTGACTCCCAAAAACTCTGAGCAATTTACAAATTATTTGAAACATTAAAAATAAGGAAACAAAAAGAAGGGTAAAGATGGCAAAATGACAAAAAAGTAAACATAAAAATAAATTATAATTTAAAAAGTCAAATGTGGCCTAATCGAATAAATGAAAAATGTGCTTTCCTCAATTATAAACCCATTAATATAGTAATAATGAAATATTTAAATAAAGTGGGAATATTCCATAAGAGTGAGGGAAAACCTATATGATTTAAGGATAGAACTAAAACTATAATTCAAATTACTATCAACACCCAAAAATCCAAGTGACTGAAAATTATTAATATTTTTGGTGGGGAATATAACAGACAACTCTTAAGGATATTACAAGATTGTTCATGGGGCTATCTGAATATTTATGCAAAATATTTAGGTTGGTACAAAATAAGATAGAATTGTGTATTATCATGGTAATGACAGTACATATTATACTTACTGGTTCCCAGTTTTCTTCCAGTACGATTATGTCTTGGGGCTGTACTATGTGGAAGAATATCTGCGACATGTATTCTTTTTAAAGTCCTGACTTCATAAAGTAAGGCCCTACTCCTCAGTGGTGGGATTCAAAAAATTTTACTATCAGTTCTGTGGCCATGGCTTGGTGGGCATAGCAGGGGAAGGATACTGTAAAATCTCCATTCACTCCCCACTCCTGGGGGAATGTTACCACTGGTTCTCCAAACTACTCAAAATTTCTGCTACCGGTTCTCCGGAACTGTTCAGAACCTGCTGAACCACCTCTGCTACTCCCAATGTTTCAGGTGCCTACTTGGGTTGGGTCATTTGAAGTAGGTACTCCAAGATAAGTAATGCTGTTTCCAGAATTGTCCATGTAGCATCTGTTTCAGCCTAAAGCTTTTTAATTTCTAGAACTTCATCTGATATGTAGTACTTTTAATTAGTCTGTTTCAATTTTAATTGTTGCTTCTCTAAATTGCATTTTTAATCTTTAATTTTTAATAATTTTATTTGTTTTTACAATATGTTATACTACTATAGTGAAAGCTTTCAATAGCTTAACTAACACATTTTTAGAAATACTAACAAAGGAGGTTGTATATTTGCAGTGTTTAATATAATGATTGATTGATTTTGATTGTGTTTCAGTCTGTGGAGGAAAAATAAAGGGCCTGGTTTCAGAAGATTATGTCCGAAGAGTCAAATAAGGACAAGCAGTACATAGAACAATTAACCAGTGAAAATTACAACTCAGTATGTTTAACCTTCAGTTTTTTTTATATTCTTCTAATATCTAATTAATTAATTACAGGGCTTGTATGCACTTCAAACAAAGCTGATTCTAAGCTATATAATAATTTATTTGTTAAAGGGAGTATAGCATAGATAACTAATCCTCTCCTATTGGATATTTCCTCATATGAATTTAAATTGCATTTGCCTAGGGAATAGATACTATAACAATTATTTAAAATATACAGTGTGCACTTCCTTGCATTATCTGTGCAGTATTTTTTCCACATTACATTTTTTACATTCAATTTATAAATCTGTGCAGTTTATAAAATCCAAATGTACTAATCCCAAAATTGTAGATTAAATTAAAGAATATTTGTAGTCATTCTCCTATTCAAATGGATACGGATTGCAGTGAGGCTATGTGAGGTTGCTTTTTGTAGATTTAGTTCTGCATTTAACACAATTCTTCCACATAGACTAATGTCTAAACTTATGAACCTTGGGCTTTCTTATTCAATCTGCCTTTGGATTATGGATTTCCCGTTTGGCCGCTCACAAAGGGTCAGATTAGGTAATCTACCTCATCAGCCCTTATTCTTCATGCTGGTACACCACAGGGTTGCGTGTTGAGTCCCTTACTCTATACTCTTTACGTGCATGATTACATTCCCACTTACGCCAGTAATACTATTATTAAATTTGCAGAAGATACAACAGTGGTGGGACTCATCTCCAGGAGGGGAGGGGCGGGAATGAGTATATCGAGACCGGTGGCTTTCATGGTGTGGAGACAATAACTTGGTCCTTAACACCAATAAGACAAAGGAGCTTATGGTGGACTACAAAATAATAGATCAGACATCCAGCCCTTGATTATCAATGGAGAGCAAGTGGACCAAGTGGTCAGTTTTAAGTTTTTGGGTCTTATCATAAAAGAAGACCTGATGCTCACATTGCAGCACTGATCAAAAGAGCCTAGCAGAGATTTTACTACCTGAGACTTCTCAGGAAACAACAACTGAATGACAAATTGCTAGTGATCTTCTACTGCTGCACTATAGAGAGCATTTTTACTTACTGCGCCTATGTATAGTTTGCCAATTGCACAGTGGCAGATAGGACAGCACTCCAGAGAGTCAACATCATTTCTCAGAGGATCATTGGTTGCCCTCTCCCCTCCTTGAAAGAGCTTTATAGCTCCCGCTGTCTTAAGAAAGTTCAAAACATTCTGAAAGATCCATCTCATCCTAGGCATCCTTTTTTTGAACTATTACCATCTGTCAGACAGTACAGAACAATAAAAACAAGGACAAATAAGCTGAAAAACAGGTTCTATCCCAGCCCAGTAACTATACTGAATTCTACTGTACGGTGTAATACTAATGCAGTATCAGGGGTTCTCAATTCAATTGTATAGAAAGTGAAGGATGGGTGTTTTTGTTTTATTTTTATGGTTTTCTTATGTATGATATACACTGAAGATGGCATTTAATTTCATTGTACAAGATACAGCGGCAATAAAGTAAACTAAATGCCACATATCCAGAAGGTTTCTATAAATAATTAATATTTCCTTGTGCTTAATAACTTTAGTAGAAAATAGAATTTATTCATATTTACTTCTTTATTACCATCATTTTTATGCTACCTCCATCAGCAGATCATGATCTAATAGAAACAACAAAATAATAAAACAGTGATCTAACAATCACAACATAAATTTATAAAAATATACTTCAGTCATTCCTTAGCAAACTAGACCTGAGCACTTGTCTGGAATCTATTATACAAGACAGGATTACCTTTATAGCCTCATTAGTAGGCCATAATGTCAATAGTCTTCTTCAATCCAAATGATAAAATGTTGCCGATTAAGGGGCTCGCGCTGAAAAGGTCTTCCTCTAGATTTTCACCTGACCTCTAAGAGGGTAACCTCATCAAGTTCTCTCAGCCTGTTTGTACCAGATGGGCAAAATCTACCTGGTGTAGGAAGCCTCAAATATTGTACTTCAGAGCAGTAATCTTAATTCATAGTAATCTTGCCTTACCATATATATAAGATGTGTTGAATTACAGTTCCTTCTCCTCCCACCCCTGTGAAATGCTGAGACTACTGTGATAGGAATTGTAGTCTATTATTGTATACAACTAAAAGATACAAATAGTTTGACTTAAATATTACTCTCTGCTTTGATCTCTAGCAATTCATCCTGTGCGCTTTACCAAATGTATACTGGGATTAACCTGTATTTATTTATTGAGGAAACTTATATGATCACCTTATACATGATAATCTCAGGCAGCTCACAATGACACTCAATAGCTCATATAGCAATACATTTCTATAAGAGTCTCACAACATATTTATATGCCACAATATCCAAACAACTTTACATTTAGATTTAGATTTGCTGGTCTCATTTCCATCTAACCTAATGCCTGGGTAAAGAACCAAACCTTCATTCATTAGCTTCACAAAACTAATCAGGTGGGAGCCCTCTGAATCTCAAAGGGGAGATTTTTCAGAAGGGTTGGGGCTATCATGAAAAATGTGTCTGAGATCCCACCATATTGCAACATTTAAGAGAAAGTACTGGAGCACAGTCACCCTATTTGATGCTGTAGGATAGGTCATCCTGGTAGTTCAGGATGCCTAATAATATGGATATTTTTCATATTGCATTCCAAAGCCTGGGATCTATTTTTCTTTTCATCTCATTGGTTTTTCTAGTTTTGTCCTGCAAAATTAAAAATTAAGCATGCATTTTCTATTAAGAGTTATTGTTTTACCAAATTGTTAATTTTCATTTTGCATTAAAGAATCACATTTTCCCTTTTATTTTATTTGTATTTTAGGATGATGATTCCTTTATCCCATACGTAGCCGAAGATCTTGAGCAGTGTGCATTTGTTGCAGGTCTGAATAGTTCTATTTCTTGCGAACTGAGGGTACATATATGGATAACATTAAAAATGAATTGCCATGTAGGTGTAACAAAAGGTTGGCATACATAATACCTTCTAAATATATTGGAACACATCTGAAGAAATTGTGCTCACTTTTTTTGTTGATGAATTATCTCTTATATTAAGAAATAACATACTGAATAACATACCTATATGTTGATCATAACTGGAATTTTAATTAGTAGCCCAGAAAAGGAATTCAAAAACTGTAATCTATATATGTTAAAGCTATGATGATAAGAAAATATATCTAATTCTAATTTACATAACAATACTTACTGTCTCGCCATACTTTTCAAGCCTTACAAAGTATTCTTGCTTTGATTGTGTCCATCTTCTTTTTCATGAATTGCCTTTTCTTCATTAAATTTCTTCCCTCTCAGTTTTTCAGGAAGTTATCATCTCCATTTAATTATGAATGTCCTTGATTGTCCCCTTCTCTTAACTCATTAACTCTGTACATGTTTGTTTTCCAGCTTGGGTTATTCTCTCTTTATGACCAAACTATCTCAGCATAATTATTTAATACTAGTTACATATTCATTTAGCTTCCATTCACTCCTGAATTTATCTGTTATTTTATTATTTATACTTGTTAAGTACACCATTCCTATTGCATTAAGTTACTGTTTCAATTTTTCTGATATATCTAATTTCCAGTGGACTGTGAATAGAAACTTGTTCTACTTCATTCAGCAAACATTTATTCCTTGCAAAAACCGTGTAATTCCTGCTTTCTGCCAGCATTTGTATATCTTCAGATTTCCCCAATTGTTTTCTTACCTTAATCAAACATTTCAGCAAGGTGTACACATTCATCTATTTTGTCTAGTTTTAACTATTTATGTAGCATATGGAATCACTCACTACATTTTCCCTGACAAAAACTAATTACAATAGACTTTGATACATTCATTTTCAGTTACATGTCTTGTTATATATACATTGATATCATCCAAGTTCTGAAAAACATGACTGTTATAGATCGGAAAGAAGGGGAGGCCACACCAGAGCATTCCAATAACACACTTTATTCAGGGGAATAAAGGGGGCTGTCGCATCTGCTTCTAACCAGGCACACCTACCAGCGAACAGCAGCTGGCTCGACCTCGCAGCCGGCTTTTATAACCGGCTGTCGAAGGGAGCCAGCCAATGGGGGCTGCTGACGCCCCCGCGGAAGGAACGGACCTGATGGGGAACTTGTGTCAGTCCCGGGGACATAACACCCCTTCCCCCCAGATACGAACACGAATAGTCTTTTAAGTAAACGGGTGGACTGTGCAAGCGCCCTGACCGGCGCAATTCTGGTGAGACACAAAGTGGCACAGAGTTCGGTGAGTCAGGAACGGGGCTTGCGGGAGCACAGGGTCGATCTGGAACTCGGTCTGGAGTCTGGGAATGACCACAGTCTTCAGGTTGGATTGTTGAACTGTCATCGTCACGTAACCTGGTAGTGTCATTGGACGGTAAGGCTGGCGACTCTGGTGGACGGTCCCGGTCTACCGTCCGTTCCCTCGGTTCGGCCGGCGGAGGCAGGTCACTCTGGTGGTCCCAACTCGGATTCAGGAGCGGCGACTGGAGTGTCCCTGGAGTCCCTGGGCCGGAGTTGGCAAATTCGCTCTGGCGACTTCTTATCTGGTCCAGATGTCTCCGCCAGACGCGCCCGTCCTCCAGCTGGATGCGGTATGATCTCGGACCGGTGATGGCAACGATCCTTCTGGGTACCCACAACGGATCGCCCGTGTAGTTCCGGGCAAACACTCGGTCCTGTAATACAAAACTCCTGACCCTACTGTTAGAACCAATTGGTGTGTCAGGGCAATAGTGGGGGTGCAGTCTATCTAACACCGTCCTCAAACGTCTGCCCATCAGTAGCTCGGCTGGAGACTTATTTGTGACAGTGCATGGGGTTGAGTGTTGGCTCAAAAGAAAACGAGAGAGTCTGGAGTGCCAGTCGTCTTGAGTGAATCTTGCCAACGCCTCTTTTGCTGTCCTAACGGCTCTCTCCGCCAACCCATTGCTAGCGGGGTGAAAGGGAGCCGTCAGGATATGTAGAATGCCCAGGTTGGTGACATACTGACTGAATTCTGTGGACGTAAATTGGGGCCCATTGTCTGAGACTATGGTGTCAGGCAGACCGTGTGTAACAAATAGGCGGGTCAGAGCCTGGGCAATTGCTCGGGTGGTGGTCGCGAGTAGGAGGGCCACATTGATCCATTTTGAGAATGAATCAACGACCACCAGGAAAGTCTTGCCGTGGAATGGCCTGGCCAAGTCAATGTGCAAACGTGACCACGGTGCGTTGGCACTTTCCCATTTGGTTGGGGTGGTGATTGGCGGTGCTGGCCTGGATTCCTGACAGGGACGGCAGGAGCTTACCCATTTTGCTATTTCGTCGTCCATGCCCGGCCACCAGACGTAACTCCGAGCCAACGCTTTCATCCGGACGATGCCGGGATGTCCCTCGTGCAGCGCCTTCAGGACGGGTGTGCGCAGTGGTTCTGGAATGACAACTCTGGTCCCCCATAACAGGCAGCCCTGCAAACTGGAAAGCTCTTGCTGGCGGGTTTTAAACGGTGAGAATTCAGTTGAGAGATCGCTGCCCGGCCACCCCCTCCGTACCCAGTCCAGAACCTGGGCGATAAGTTTGTCTTTTTTGGAGTGGAGGGCGATGTCGCCAGCAGTGACTGGAAGGTTGAACTCACTGACATCAAAAATGGCATGTACCGGGGCCGGGTCCTCCACGGGTGCTGGCAACGGGCAGCGGCTGAGGGCGTCGGCGTGGCTAAGGTGTTTTCCTGGACGGTGAACTAGTTTGTACAAGTAAGCCGCCAGGAATAAGGTCCACCTAGTCATCCTAGGTGACAAGACTTGCGGTGTCTGCTTTTCACCTGAGAGAAGCCCCAATAGTGGTTTGTGGTCTGTGACAAGTTCGAAATTGTGACCAAAAAGAAATTCATGGAATTTTTTGACCGCAGCTACGGCGGCTAGGGCCTCTTTGTCAATTTGGCTGTAGTTACGTTCAGTTGCTGAAAAGGTTCTCGAAAAGAAGGCAATTGGGGCTTCAGAGCCGTTGGGCAGTCTGTGACTCAAGACAGCCCCGATCCCGAAAGGTGAGGCGTCTGCTGCTAAGACTAGAGGAAGGTGTTGGTCAGATTGTATTAGGACAGCGTCCGAGGTGACCAGCGACTTAACTGCCTTAAAAGCGTAATCCTCTTTGGGTCCCCAATACCATGGAGTGTTTTTGTCTAGAAGTCTATGCAACGGTTCTGCTACTGACGCTTTGTGGGGTAGGAACGATGCATAGAAGTTTAGCAATCCCAGGAAAGCCTGTAACTCTGACTTGGAAGAAGGAGTGGGTGCCTCGTGAATGGCTTTGACTTTGGATTCCACTGGGTGGATGCCTGAGGCGTCTATTTTATACCCAAGAAAGTCCACCTGCTTAGTGGCGATGGCACACTTCTCCCTTTTTAGTTTGAGGCCGAGATAGGGGAACCAATCCAACCCCAAAAGGCTAGGGAGGGTACCATCTACCACCACTAAAGGCAGATGGCCTTTAAAGGATTTGAATTTAACAAGGAACTTGCCTGTTCTGAGTACTGGGATGTTCTTTCCCTGGTAGTCCCTCAAGGTGAGACGACTCTTCTGGAGCTGGTTTCTGGACAGGTTGGGTCGTAGTTTCTTGAGCGTGCTCCATGAGATGATCGAGAGTGCTGACCCGGTATCGACTTCCATAAGACAGGGTTTACCTTCTAAATGGATAGAAAGCGTGATTTTATTAGGTGTCAGAAAAGTGTGGTTAGCTTGGTAGCACGTGTAACAATTTTCTACTTGCCTGGGTGGCCCCGGAGGGGAGTAAAAGGATGCTGCCTTTTGTGGAGCCACGTGTGTTGCCTGGCAGGCCCTGGCGATGTGGCCTTTCTTGCCGCAATTGTTGCAGGTGACGTTCCTGAACCTGCAAGTCGTTCTGGCATGGGAACCCCCGCAGGCGAGGCACAACAGGATGTGTTTGGACGTGTTGCTGTTCCCAGGCCTAGTTCCTACCTGTGGCTGCTTGGATGGCTTGAGTCGATGAACTTCTAGGTGCTCGACGGGGTCTTCTTCACTCACCACCTCCTCTGAGTGGATGGTGACTGGACTGGATTTGGCTGCGCTCCCTTGTATTTCGGTGGCTGATTGGGTCGCTAGCTCTGCTGCCAAGGCTTCCTCGATCGCTTGAGTGAGGTTGAGGTCTTTTCTAGCAAACGCCTCTGCAATCTTAAGTCTTTGACTCCACAGACGAGTTGGTCAAGGAGCATGTCGTCTAGGTAATTTTTGAATTCGCAGTGGAGAGCTGCGGTTCTCAGGGCAGCCAAATACTGATAGATAGATTCCCCATCTGCTTGCTTCCTCATGCGAAAGGCAAAACGTCTCGCGATCTGCGATGGTTTTGGGGAATAGTGGTTAGAGAGTGTCTCTAACAGCTCGGGCCAGGGGACGCTCTTTAACTCCCTGGGTGCAAATAGCGCTGTGGCGGTATCAAACACTGCGGCCCCGCAGTAACTCAGGAAGTACGATTTCTTCCTGTTCTCTGTAGCATCGGCCAGACCAATGGCATCAATGTAGTGATTGAAGCGGTTTCTGTAAGAGTCCCACTTGTCTTCATCTGGCTTAAATGGCGGGAACGCCGGATTTGAATTCATATTGGGTTTTCAGTCTGTTGGTAGACTGACCAATCTCACTGGGAATACAATGGCCCTGATAAGTGTGGCTTTCAGTCTGTTGGTAGACTGGCCAATCTCACTGGGAATACAATGGCCCTGATAAGCGCGGCAGCAGTAGCTTGCAGATCTGCCCCAGCTTAGTGTTTCAGCTCTTAGAGGTTCTCTCTGTGTTTCACGCTCTATGTGACTCTGTCGGCTATGGCTGTAGCCCGTAACTGACTTCCGTTTGAATTTCACGCCTTCCCCAAGGCGTAGGCGGCTATAGCTGTAGCGTCGTGCTGACAGCTATTCAAATTGCGCGCCCAATGCATTCTGGCGGCTGCGAGTACAGCGCCAAGCTTGCTAACAGCAGAATTCGAACACAGCAGTTGAATTCTGCGCTCAGTGTCAGCGGCTGAGGCTCTCAGCGCCCTGCTCTTCACGTAGCTTTCTTTTTTTTTACACGGAGCGGCTACACGCTCCGCTTTCACTTCTGCAATCCACAACTGACCGAGCTCTCACGGCGCGGCTACGGTTCAGCGTTTGGTGTGTGATTTCAGCTCTTTGCTATTGCTGCTGGTTGGCCAGATCCCACCTTCGTCGCCAATGTTATAGATCGGAAAGAAGGGGAGGCCACACCAGAGCATTCCAATATCACACTTTATTCAGGGGAATAAAGGGGGCTGTTGCGTCTGCTTCTAACCAGGCAGACCTACCAGCGAACAGCAGCTGGCTCGACCTCGCAGCCGGCTTTTATAACCGGCTGTCGAAGGGAGCCAGCCAATGGGGGCTGCTGACGCCCCCGCGGAAGGAACGGACCTGATGGGGAACTTGTGTCAGTCCCGGGGACATAACAATGACATCATCTGTATTAAGAGATATACGTACATTTACATTTCCAACCTGTACACCTCTAATGTGTCAGACTCCAAAAGTCAAGAAAGGCACACACAAATTCTTCTAAGCAGTTTCCTTTATCATTCTCCTCCTATAGACAGAAATCTTGCCAAACTAAAGCAGACTACTTATATCATTAAAATATACTCTGAAAACTCCTACAGAAGAACTGTTTTAATTCTCTCTTTCTCTCTTACAAACTTAGTTTTCTTTTGCTCCTCTGGAATGCACTCCCTCCCTCCTGGGAATCCGGGCTACATTCCACCACAAATGTCACCAAAAAGCATTCAGTCTATATTTATTTATAAATACATTAAAAACTATCACTCACTACATTCAGCAGTTACTTTCAACTCCAATCTTATACAAAACATTCCAAAATTCAGCCTTATCATCACATATTTTATATGAGTAAACACATGTACAATTAATTTCCTTTCTCATAAGGCTACATTTCTCAGTGACTTGCTGAAAAATAAAAAAACATGGCTCACAGACACACACACTCGTCCCCATAAAATGCTTTTTCCAACATGCCACCATTTTATTTTATCACTTTTAATTCCATTCACTCTGCTCATGGTTCCTAACTTAAGATTTCTTTTCCACGCTTCAATTTTATTTAATTTTCATCAGAATAGTTCTAAATCTTCTATGTCCCCTCATTTTAACTATTTTTACTGCATTCTTTTCAATTTTTTTTCTGTACACTATAAATATGTTTCTACCATCCAATATAATTCCATCATATGTCTCACCTGTTTCATCATTCTGTCAGGTTTCCTTTTTCATACTTCCAATTGAAGTATTCTATGGGACTCTGTAACATTTTTTTTCATTCTGTGTTCACTTTTCACAGCTTCTTAGGTCAATTTCATTCATTTTGTTGGGAAATTCATCTATATTCTAATAGCTTTTCATACTTATATATTTTATTCCTGTTGTTTCCCTTCCACTTTAGGTTCTTTAGGTTTTTTCCTTTACCTTCAGATCCATTTTCCTGAAGTTCCTCTTGGCACTACCAGAACTGGTCTGTTCTACATTCAGAACTATTCTTGTTTGTTTGGGTCTTTGAATGTTCCAAATAATAGTAAAAAAAAACAGTAAAAAAAAATAGACCATCTTGTTCCCATTCATTTATTCATGCTACATCACAGAATATTTTCTCCTAGTTGTATTGGTTCAGAATATTGCAAATCAGTCATCTTTATTTTTCCACTGCTACTATGCAATTCTTGCCAAAGTATGGATTCTTTCAAATATGACTTCATCAAACTAGATAATACCATGTAAATGACTAACCCTTCACTCAAAGTCTAGTCTTATAAAATAAATTATGCATTTGTTTTATGGAGCACTTTCTGTTGCTATTTTGGCTAATTTGCAGCTTTTGCAAAGCTTGCAGTATGCCACAATCATAACATAATATTTTTATTTCGGATATAGAGATGACAAAATTCTTGATTTGTTTGAACAACATAATTCCAAGATCAAAAACTCTTAAAATTAACAAAAGAAGAATTTATTACTGTCTTAAGATCAGATCCTAAAAATCAAATGCAATCTGCCACAACATCACAGTGAATAACTTACTTCTCTTGTCGGATCTGAATGTGGAGGAGGTTTATAGCATTTAACAATCATATAACTGATTTCAGGGCACTTAAGTTTTAGGAAAAACATTTAAATTATATTAGTCAGATCAATTTATTTCTACTTATTCATACGTCTATATATTAAGGGCTGGGTTAAGTGTGAGAACACAATTCTTTGAAAAATCTGTATTTCAGAAAAAAGGGGAACTGTTTAAATCTACCATCCATGATTGCAGAGGGAAGGGTATTGAAGCGTCAAGATCAAAATTGATCAGTGATCAACACATGCACACATTTGTCTTACAGATTCTTTTTGTGATCAACTTTTGCCACGTACCACACAGATTTTATTGGAATATAACTCTGGAAAATGGGTGCCACGACTTCGTGAACCACGAGATTTTTAAGGACACGGCGACACCCGAGATCTACACTTAGTACGGTGGCCACATCAGTATGAAGTTATCAGAGAAAAAATTAAGCATATTGGTAAATAATTATTTAGCCTTTTCTAATGTGATGTTTTTCTTGATAGGTCACAAAGAAATATTATTTCCAATAAAGCACTTTCTGACTTGCTTCAACCACTTAAATATTTTTTTCTTTATTCATCACTCTGCATTGATGCAGTTAATTCATCTTTCAAATTTAAATGTAAAGAAATGCAAAACTGCATTATAGATTAGACATATTAAAAGAAATGAACAGTTCTAACAATTGACTATTACTATTCAACTATATTAAGCCTAAAGATTCTTAAAAATTGTACACCTTTTTCTGATCAATGGAGCAATCTCAGTTACAGTTCTATACTAGTTGCAAGAGGATAGGATTGCACTAATGCAATTGTGCCTATTTGGATAATCCAATGATATATTAATGAATGTGTTATTGCTCTGATTTGATCAACCTAACATTTGTTTGAATTAATTGCAATGGCAGTCTGAAAGATTGAAGTTAGACATGCAGATGGGTTTAAAGCATTGCAGTAGATAACAGCAGAGTCTTCATGATGACACAAGCATTTTATGTGGTCACCAACCCTAATTTCCTTGCTCTGTGGACTTTTGCTCCAAAGGGTGACTGAGATAAGGAGAGACACTTAGAGAGATAGAGTGTAATGTCATGATTTTAGCCTTATCATCTCAGGCAACAGGCATCCCCTACAAAGGGAACTGGCCTTGGCAAAATAGAGTACTATATGAATACTTTTGAATATCTACTTTTAATTTAATTTCAGATACAGCAAATGAGAAAAATAAAAATTAATTTAATACTCTTGAGATGACGCCTGACCTTTTATTTTGAAGACTCATCAGCTTTTGTGAATCTCCACTTTTGTTGTGATTATAGGCCAAATTCAAGAACAGTAGCTTTTAGCCAACCTTGATAATTGATCTTGAGAAGCAAAGAAAAGCCAGAATCTGTTGAATATTTTGATTGTGAACACCAAGAAATTTCAGAACTGCATATGGGGAAATTTTCTACATTGAAACAATTAGTGGCAAACTGCTTCCTTACTTTTGCCAACTAAACAATATGGAAATCTCCATCTATTTACTAGAAATTGTGTTGGAAAGAAATTTATATTTGTTTCAGGTTGTATAGGATCTTAGCAAAAGGAATTGTGCAGGATTTTTTTCTAATGAAGTCTTGAGTTCCTGTGATGACACCTTCTGGCAAAGGCAGTCTTCTGCTATTTAAAATAAAATCAAATAATTTGAAGGTAGGTTATATAAGCCTACCAATTGTGGCAACCCCCAGATATAACAAAGGAAGCATGTATATACATTTTTATATTAACATATTTCTATTTATAGAATATTCTACCAGTACAAATACAGCGGAAAACAGGGACTTGCTGATACATGCTTGATTTTTTTAACTAGTCATCTTGTTCCTAGAATTTTTTTTCTTTTCATGGCGCTGTAATCCCTTGATTTTGGGTAGAGTTGGGGTGCTGAATGGAGCTGAGCATTTGCTGGCTGGATGCCCTTCCTGATGCCTATATGGAGTTCACAACAGATGTTTTATCTTTGCACTCTGAGAGAAAAACATCTGCTGCTACCTAGGATTAAACTCTCAACCTTCCAAGTGGGAGGCAAACATCTTCACCACTAGGCCACCACACTGCTCACTTGGTTCATATAATTATTTTTTTATAAATTTTCTTCCTATTCTTAATAACATGTCAACATTGATGTTACTGTATAACTTGTTAACAATATAAGGAAGAACCTTACCTAACTTAAGAATTTTATCATAACTGCTCAGTAAATTTCTGTTGCTCAGGTTATAAAATTATATTTCCATTTTTGTAGCACAAGAAGAAACACACCTATTTACTGGATAAATATAATAAAGGGAATGCATATTTAATTTTACATGTATTGTCTGCAGCCAGAATTGTATTTGCGCAACAATGGATAAGTGAAGATATCCCAATATGATTTAAAAAATATTAGAATGTGTAGAAATGAATAAGCTCACACTTATAATCAAGGAAAAGAAAGAAACTGAATACTTTCTGACTTGGGACTTATTTTATCAATGTCTAGCTGAAAAAACCAGGAGCTAGAAACAGAAATATACAGAAAGGATCAGTGATATAAGGAAGATATGTTGAATTGGTTAAGCAAATAATATTGATATTATTATTAACACTACTATAATTAATATCAATGTAATGAATATTGTTGTAAACATTTTGATTATTTCCTAAAACTATTTGTACTTAGACAACACACTGTTCAATTGGAATTGGAATTTTTATATGCTATAAAATAAAAACTTGAATTAAAAAAGAAGAAACAGTTCTTGAATATTTGTTTAAAAAGTGGTATTAATTTAATAAAACATAACAAAAAGTTTAAAGGTTACAAATCTAGTAGTTATCTACTGCAGAAAAGATATAATAAAATAGCAGGCTACTGCACATATTTCAGTGTTGAAGACTTATGTTTGGATTATTGGCAGTGCTAAGAATCTCACTATGGAACAAAATTGATCAATTTATTTTATGTTTTTGAAAAGATAAAATGAAGGGCAATCAATATGTCTTTTTTATTTAAAAAAAAAACTAAGTTCATTGTCTTCTTATAAGCAGGAATAAAAATATCCTGCCCTTTGCACCTTAAAATATATTTTTATTTTTGTTTTTTAACACAGTATTTTAAGGCTATTTTCTTTCTTTTTCTTTCCAGAATGGATTCCATCTCATCCAGAGCCTCTCTATAATCCCACAGGTTCAGAGTTTGAGCCTCAGTGTTTGGATCCAGGGGAAGGTGCTGTCGTGTATTTAGCAGATGAAGGTTTGACCAGATTTTATTGAGAACACATATAACTTAATTATTTACATCTTAATTGTACAAAGTAATTTTCAAATAGAATTCTACATACAAATTCTAAGACAAAAGACAAAAAGAGCTCTAGAACTTAGGATCCTAAATTTTAGCATCAGAATCTTTGTAACACTAAATGTACAGCATTTTCCATAATCCATGCCACAAATCTTTTGAAGTGTATCAGTTTTAATAAATTAATTTTCTTTCTGCCAGAATTAGTTATTTTCTTTGGTTATCCTTTTAGTTAATGTAACAGATCATTAATTTTTAAAAGGTTTTATTGTGCCAAGTAATAGGATCAGTGTTTTTGAAGATAATTTATACCCTGTTACCTCCTTAAGAGTTTAATCCAATCAAAACTGTGGCTTTATTCTCTTTCCTTCCCTCTCTCCCCTTCCTTTGTCTCCACCTTCCCATTTTTAAACATCCTCAGGACTGCGCTCTCTTATATATGTCTCTTGGCTACTTCTACCTTTCTGTTATTGTTCTTATTGCTTCACTGAAATGATTTTAAATTTTAGATTTTTGAAGGATGAGAGAATAAAAGAGTAGTGGTGAAGATATGCCTTATACAATTATGGCTAAGATGCTAATCAGTTTGATAAACAACCACATTCTGCTTTAATCATTCAAATATTTTGTTTTTAAGCACTTGGCTTGAATAGAAAAACTGCATTTTTGATTGACTGCAGTGCAATATCTCCTTAGCTTTCCTGTCTGACTTCTACTACTAACCCTTGAATTACCTTATGTCTAGAGCCCGATTTCTTGAAGTACTTTTTTTTTCTTTGGAAGACCTTTATTAATCTACAAGACTTTCCTTGTCATTATGTTTCCAACCAATACGGTCCTGAGATTTCTTTTGCCCAACAGGCCCACAATACTTGCTGATGTCGTCGATCCATCTTGTTTTAGGTCTTTTTTGTGGACACCTTTTATCAAGTGGAATCCATTTTATGACTGCCTTGATCCACTGCCATCAGTTTTTCTTGCTATGTGATTAGTCCATTTCCATTGCAATTCTTTTACTCTCTTGATGACATTACATACTTTCATTTCTTCTTTAATCCATGTGCAGGACTTTCTATCTTGACTTGTAATGCCAAGCGTGTATCTTTTCATGGCTCTTTGTGCCACTTGTAGCTTTTGTATCGATTGTGAGTTTAGTGTTCATGTTCACTGGCAGGTGAACAGCAGGTAGCACACACTGATTGAAAAGCATAGGGGAAGATTGTTCTTGAAAATTATGCTTAGCTTGCCGAATGTCTGCCAAGCACATTTAACTCGCCATTCAATTTGCTTTACTGTATTGCCTTCCTTTGAGGAAATTCATATATATAGTGGTCTACAGTATCAATTCATATATATAGTGGTCTACAATGTCTAGTTCTTCTCCAGACATATTTTTTTTCTTTCTTTGGTAAATTTATTAAACATAACCTGGCTTTTTCAGGTTTATTTTTAAGCCAATGGTTCTCCTGCTTCATGCAGCTCTTGTTATGTAGCTCTTCTGGGTCTTGTGAGCAGAAAACAACATTATCTGCAAATCTTAAATGTTTTAAATAGGGGCCATTGGCTTTTCTTCCATCTTTTGCCCAGTCTAGTTTGTGAAATACTTCTTCAAGGCAGGCTGAGAAAAGGATAGGTGATATTGTATCGCCTTGTTGTTCTACGTTGCTGTCCACTTTAACATCATTAAGGGAAATTGTTGCGATTGTTTTTTCATATATTTATTGTAGTAAGTTTATGTAAGCAGTATACATCTTGGTTGAGCAATGCATTAACTATTGCTTGCTGGAATACTGAGACAAGTGCCTTTTGGTTGTCAATGAAATATGTTAAGAAAATGTTTCTTTAACAATATTTTGCAGCTGAAGATTAGGTATATTCTGTTCCTCTCAACAGCCAACAAGGACCCCAACTTTAGATATTCTCGAATAGGGGGATGTTTCCCTTCAAAGCAAGTGCTTCCTCAATCATGGAATGACTGGGATAATACTTTGATCTTTGAAGCACGATTTGAAAGTGGAAATCTGCAAAAAGTGGTCAAAATGTAAGTTGCTTCCCATTTTTTCTTTTAATTTGCAAAATAGTCCATTTTCTGAGACATTAAGTTAATCCTTGGTAGACCTTGAATTTAGACAGCATGAAATGAGATGCAAAGTCTTATTCATTGTTTTTTAAAAAATAGTCATTATTAATAAATTTGTACTTCATGTTTTCTTCAATGGTCTGTGCTGATTTCCTGGCTGTGACAAATGAAGCAAAAATTATACCTGCAATCTGGATATGCATTTATAATACAGGTAGTCCTCAATTTACAACAATTCATTTAGTGACCATTCAAAGTTACAATGGCTCTGGAAAAAGGGACTTATGACTGTTGCAGCATCCCCATGGTCATGTGATCAAAATTTAGATGCTTGGCAACTGGTTCCTACTTATGACCAGTGCTGTGTCCCAAGGTCACGTGATCGCCTTTTACGACCTTCTTACAAGCAAAGTCAATGGGGGAAGCCAGATTCATTTAACAACTATGGCAAGAAAGGTTGTAAAATTGGGTGAAACTCATTTAACAAATGCCTCATTTAACAACAGAAATTTTGGACTCAATTGTGGTTGTAAGTCGAGGACTATCTGTATTTCAATTTTAACTTCACTTTTTATATTTCTGTCTCTTGTGCTTTTTAATCAAACTGTGAGGTGAATGTGCCATACGATAAATAATCTTCAATGGTAATTTAGCAAATACTGCCCCAGTACTGGATTTATGTATTTATTACATCAATTTATACTCAGTTCCATTTATGAAGATTATAAATAGTTTCTAAATTAATACCAGAAGATTAAAAAATAATTTAGTACAGTTACAAATGCACCATCATTTGTGGTAGCTGGTGTGCTCATTTTCCTCTGTAAAGCCCTTCATGGCATAAGATCTAGCCAGCTGAAGCACTGCAATTTCTGCTTGTATTGTATGGTTTGACAGGCATATTTTGTGTCTTCTGCCTATTATACCTGCTATGCTGCACCCTCCTCTTTTTCCACTTTTCTCTCTCTATTCACTCTCCCAACAGTTCAAGGGAATGACAGACATCCCATTTCTTCCCTCTTTGAATTTTACTGCATCCATCCAGTCATTGCTTTGGCAAAGTCAGTATACAGTCCTAATTCATTCATCTACACATAAGCATGCAATCCATTATAGCCCCCCCCCCAACCTTCCCCACCTCTTATATATTGCTCTTATTTAAGTAAAAAATATGAACAGTATATAGGGGATGGGGGAGGGGCTATAATGGATTGCATGCTCATGTGTAGATGAATGATTTATTTAAGTAAAAAATAAGTTTCCCCACGATTATTATTTGGGGGGGGGGACTCTACTATTATTCCTCATAAAATCAACATTTCTCCCAGCCTGATCCACCACAAACTCCAGTTTAACCATCAGCCCTTCTTCAACTCTGTATTTTCTCATCTCAATGAACAAATCCATTACCTTAGATTTTGAGTGACCTGTAAAATCAATTCTTATCCACTTCTCCTTGCTTCCAGTTCTGGAGTACAGGGAACTGCCCACCTAATTCCTTGACTACAGTTACTTGCTTTACTGAATGTCTTCCTAGAAGTAACCAAAGGGTAGCCAATGACGAACACAAATGTCAGAGTCTGAGAAGACCTTTTAAGAGCTTTGAGAATCAGCTGATGTGCATGCAGTGTGGCAGCGATAGCAACAGCAATTCACAAACGGCCCCACTAGACCCCAAACTGCATCTCCATTAATCGCATCAGTAGTCTTTTTACTTCTCTAAAATCTGGCGTAGTTTCAATCAAAGGATTGTCCTTTTGTATCTCTTTATACTGCATGTTCTCATACGATCCATCTTGCTTTTACTATTCGTCTACATCCAGTTTCCCTTCCCTATTCTTTTTTTCCATTTTGCCATCTCCAGAATCTGCTCTCCATACTCCTCTCCTTTCTGCATGGACCCTTTCACTTGTCTTGCCTCCACTTCTCTGCATTTATAATTGCCCAGTCAGCTTTCTTCCACAAAATTCTCTTATCTCTGTTACAACCGAGACCATTTTATTAAATGTATTTGATTACTTTAACCTTTCTCATGAGCACCTTAAAAATTATTTTTCTTCTGCAACAGTATACTTATTGAGTTGTTAAAATGTCAGTTCTTTTGGTAGTGACTGCCAATCAATCTATTTATGTGTTTTATAAGACGAAGACAATAGATGGTTGTCAGGAAAATAATGTGTTTTCTCAAGTACAATTAACTATGACTAGCAGAAATGCTGCTCCTGCTTATCAAAATCTTTGTAAATGGTAAAAAAAACAGAGAAAGAAACTAAATTAGGCATCCTTCATGTTTTCTTGTAGAAATATTCTAATCTACAGCAGGAGCAGAATAGGAACATACATATTTATATTTGACATACTTAGCATCTTAGAGGGAGGAATGAGTATCATGTGAATGTATAACTAATTCTGAACTAGTAATGCATCTGAAATTGGATCCCAAGAATAACACAAAGTATTTGTGTATAGTTTGCACCACTACTGGGATCTGAGTGTTCATATTTGTGAGCTGTTATCTTTGCACAATAAAGTAATAAAACATCCCATTGTATGTTGTCTGAGCATGGAGAGAAGCTTATACATGTATTACATGTATACATAATTTCTTCCACACAGATGTCAGCTTCTCTCATCTTTTTCAATTCTATGTAGTACTTGGCATCTTTCTCATTATTCACTAACATCTACTGATGCTCTCTCTAGCCAACCAGCTGGACGTTAAAAGCTGGAAGCAACACATGCTTTGCCCTTACTATAGTTAGCTTTACAATTAAAAAAAACAAAGAATCATTACTGTGGGAGTGACAGTTATTTCTCCATTCAGGAATAAAGGCCTGAAGAAGTCAAGGCACCTTAGCCCCTTGGCTTCTGTATAAAGGAGAGAAACTCAGAGGTGGGTGGTGGAATGAAGTGGGAATTCCGGTCATTGGGAAGCTACCATACGCACCATTCTAGAGGAGCATTTTGAGACTGACATCATAGCACGAGAGCCAAGGAAATATGTCAAACATGAATAAATCACACAATAGTTTAATGTCCCATGTATAATTTATATTAAAAATATTTTTCTCCTTTTTCTCTTGCTAGTAATGATTTTGAATACCAGTTGACACTGCGTACTGATCTCTACACAAATAAGCACACCCAATGGTACTATTTCCAGGTTACCAACACCCAAGCAGGAATACCTTACCGATTCACCATTGTCAATTTCACCAAGCCAACAAGCTTGTACAATCGTGGCATGCGTCCATTATTATATTCAGAAGCAGAAGCAAAGATCCACAAGGTGGGGTGGCAAAGGACAGGAGATCAAATCAAGTATTATAAAAACAATTTCAGCAGTGATGGGCATCAATATTTTTCCTTGACATGGACTTTCCAGTTTCCACATGACAGGGATACTTGCTATTTTGCCCACTGCTATCCATACACTTACAGCAACCTGCAAGACTACTTGTCAGCCATTGCCAGAGACCCGAGGCGCTCCAAATTCTGCAAAATCCGTATATTATGTCATTCTCTGGCTAGGAATATAGTCTATGTTTTAACTATTACCAATCCCTTGCAAGATTTTAATAGGGAAAAATGCAAGTCAGCAGTCATTTTGACAGCAAGGGTGCATCCTGGTGAAACAAACAGTTCGTGGATGATGAAGGGCTTTCTGGATTACCTTCTGGGGGATTCAGATAATGCCCAATTGCTTCGAGACACTTTTATTTTTAAAGTGGTACCGATGTTGAATCCAGATGGTGTGATTGTGGGCAATTATCGCTGCTCTTTAGCCGGCAAGGACTTGAATCGCAATTATAGATCAGATCTTAAAGACTCTTTCCCTTCTATTTGGTATACCCGCAGCATGATCAAAAGGTAAAAAGGTAACACAATCACTTCTATCTGTTTACTATATTTATTCTCTGTTCAATATTAGTTCACTGTTAATGAATGCATGATTTTATTATCCAACTTGTTCCATTTTATTTGTTTCTGGTTCAGAGGTTACTGGCTTTTCCTGTACAGTACTTTAATTTTTATTGTAACTATTATTTTTTAATAATTGGCGTGGAATGAAAACACCAATTTCTGGAGGAAAAGAAAAGAATAGGTACTATATATAAAAATAAAGGTCATACACTATATCTTAATCAAGTTATATAAAATTAAGCTCATCCATACAATTTAATATTAACCTACTATGGAGAGAGACTTTTAATATTGTATATTTAATATTTCCCAAAATTAAGGGAGATGTGACAAGGAGATGAAGCTAAATCTCCAGGTGTATACAATGAAAAAGCTTCTATTGAAACTGGATCACTACTAGTGGCTGTCATGCCTTCATATAATGGGTAACTTAAAATCTAAACTATCTGGAAATGATACCTACAATTTCTAACATAAGCCAAAACCCCAGAGTATTTAAGTTTCAATAACCAAAGCTCTCATAATGTGATTTTGTCTCTTGTAACAGAATAATGGAAGAGCGAAATGTTCTTCTATACTGTGATCTTCACGGTCATAGCAGGAAAGAAAATGTCTTCATGTATGGCTGTGAAAAAAAAGAACAAGATGAAAGGGCATGCTTACTCCAGCGCATTTTTCCTTTCATTATGAGCAAAAATTGTCCAGATAAAGTAAGCCAACTTTTAATGTCAGATAATTAATCAAACCTGGAATCCCTTTACATGTTAGTTTAATATTGTACTGTAATAATCGTAAACTCAGAATCAGTCTGTCCCTCAAATCTAATAAATATTTTAAACATAGATTTCAGACATATCATGTTAACTATTAATTCTATTAAGATATAAATGTTTTTCAGGTTTGGGACAACACTTAGTCTTTGAGTGTACTGTACTGGGTGGTAGTAGGATAAGAAGAAAAAATGTATTTAAAATGTAATAAATTAAACACCATCATTGTATATTCCAATGTATACACTTTTCTTTATAGTACCATCTTTTGAACAAATATGTTTAACATGTCAGCAATGTGCCCAAATCTTTGAGCAGAACTTTAGGTTGTGCATCTCTATACTAACAACAGTTTCATAGATCTACCCTAGGAGTTTGATCAGATTTTTGCAGTTGCAGTGGGATTTTTAGTTCATATAAAACAGTAACTACTGCATCTGTACACCATTTTCTACCATATCTTTAAAACATTTTATTGTGGCTGTGCTGTGCTGTTCACATTTTTATGCATTACTCCAGTTTTTTCTACAGGAGCAGAAGGTCATATCATACATTTCCTTCTTTCAGAAATGATATGAATTATGCAAAGGAACCACATAAATTGAAAGCTTGATATTATAGCTTCCATATTGAAGGGAGAGCATTATCTGAGGAGGTTGTTTTAAATCATGTCTGCATATCTGCTCAATGAGTAATTTGTCTCTTTAGAAGGAATTGCTAACCTTTATTTTATTTCTTATTCTATTAAGTTCTCATTCCAAGATTGCAATTTTAAAATACAGAAAGGCAAAGAAGGAACAGGTCGAGTAGCTATGTGGAAAATGGGCGTCAACAACAGCTATACCTTGGAAGTGACCTTCTGTGGCTCTAAACTGGGTAAAACAAGTAATAATACTCCAGAACTAATAATTAATGCATTCAAAAACAGTTCTTGCATTATAGAGATAATTGCTAAATAATCAATTCCCAGTGACTAGACGGACATGTTCACTCTTGGCAAACCATGAAAGTGGTATTGCCTTATTTGAATATTTTTTTCTTAAATTGCCAACCTAGCCTGCCAAGTACTAAGCAGATGGAACTTTCCTCAAAACTGGCTAGGTTGAAATTAGCTGTTTACAAAGATGTTTTAGAATTTCATTTAACTTAAAGACAAAATTGTTATGAATATCAATTATCACAAATGAGGTTCAATTACTATATGTGCTACTTTTAGCCCTGTGAGTGAAGTTGGGAAGGGAGCAAAATTCCTAATTGCCAGAAGGTTTGGAGTAGAGCGTCATGAGATAATCGTCGTGCAAAACAAACAAAGTAAAGACATTTTAAAATGTAGCTAATTCTTCAGGGATAGTTTTAGCACCTCATACAGTTTGTACAAATTCAACCATTCTTCAATGATTTATAGAATACAGTATATAAGAATATTTTCATAACATTTTTATTTGATGATGATAACAATAGTAATAGTAATAATCACAGATAATAATCTGACAGTAGCCAGAATTCAGTTTTCTTATATTCTCCAGAGTACATAAAATTATTGCTGGACAATTCTTTTTTCCAATATGGTTTCCCTTTTGTATTATAGGAAATAGAAACGCTACCCATTTCAGTACTAATGATTTGGAGTCCATTGGATACAATTTCTGTGATTCATTATTGGCATTTTGTACTGAAAAGAAGAGCAAGGTAATACAAAGGAACTTTTTTTTTCATTTTCATTCAGAACTGAATAATAAGCACTGACTTTCACTGTTGACTCTGTGATCTCTCCTAGTACAATGAATGCCTGAAAGAATTGGAGGAACTGGTAAAACAGGATGATCCAGCTGCCTCTGTCAATGATATAGGAGACAGAGGAGATTCTAGGTAAATGGATTGTTTCTCCAAAAATATTTCTAGCCATATTAAAAAGTGAAATCATTAGCTCTGATGTGTTTCCCAGTTCTGTTATCTGATCAGGTAATTATGTAGTTGAGCATATTATTGTTCACAATCCTGTAAATCAAAACAACATATTTGTTTTCTTTTGCAGTTCAGACAGTTCAGACTCTAATGAGTTTACTGATAAAACAGAAACCCAGGTACAGTAAAAAAAATTACCATTCAACTATTTACATCACTTTTATACTTGAAATGTATTTTCTTGGCATTTAATATAGAGATAAGTAAGATGGTTGAGATATATCCAAACATTATAATCTTCCTTCATTTAATTACAATGTCAAAATAAAGTATATGAGACAAAATGTGTATTAAAAGTAATTTCAAACATTTATATACTTGCTTACATCTCTAGGGTTCAAGCTGAAGGGTATCAGTGATTTGATTTGCCTTGTTTGATTATTAGCTGCTGGCATAAGATTATGGATTCTACGCTATTATGCCTTTTTTGCAAAATAATGTAAGGGAAAGCAATACTTAAGATAAACTGTTGCATGATTAAACTATGATAAACTATTGCATTGACCTAATTGACAAAAAATATGTTCAACCATAATCTGACACTAAATTCCATAAAACAGAAGATGCAAATTGCCAAATCCATACTAAGAGAGAAGTCTTCTGATCTTATAAAAGCCACAGATGATAATTCCCATTTTTCTAAGATGGAAGTAGCCATGACTGAATAAATTACCTTTTAAAAAGATCTTTAAAATGAAGGGATCTTAAAGGCCTGAATTTGGAAAGCCATAAAGAACAATGAGGTCTGAAAGGATCCATCAGCTTCCATATTGTCTCTTTGGCCTGGTATAACAGAATAAAAGAGTTGGAAGGGATTCCACTGCTCAAGCAGGAACCCTATACCATTTCAGAGAAATGTTTATCCAATTGCTTCTTTAAAAGTATCACACAGGAAATTAGATAAATCAGTTATGGCAGGCAGACTCTCTGAGCAAGTTACAAGTATCTAATTCACTGTACATTAGACTTTACTCTCTATCCATCAACAACTTTGTTTTTTGAAGGACACTGCTATCATTGCAATTGAGAGACTGCAAAGAAGAAATATCTGCTGCAGGGCAATAACCATTGTTAATATCCTAGGGCTTCACCTACTTCATGTTAGCTGCAAAAAAGCCAAAATACAAATTTAGAAAGAAAAGTAGCCACAGAAGCCAAGAAAAAGAATTTCCCAAGTGACAGTGAAAATGATTTTATTGAAGCCAAATCCATATCAGAAATATAATCCTTTCTCAAGGATACTCTAAAAACATGAACATTGCCAGAAAGAATAGGCATTCTGTTAATTAGTGAGTAAATGAAACACAAAGTTCACATGTACTTTAAAGAGGGAAGATATATCAAGCTTGTGGTCTATGTACATAGTTACATATTGATAAACACTCTTGGGAAGGAACAGAAGAGAGCAATCAAAAGCAAGCCCTGTTCTAACAAGTGTAGCAAAGAAAAAACAGGTCTCACCAGAAGTGACTGGCAACACACAGAGGGAGCTGATGAAGTAGGTGAAATGGCATCTCTCCCAACTGTAGTAATAAAATCAGAAAAGTTGGGTGATCAACCTTGCTTGCAAAAACAATGGAAAACCTATAAAAGTAGTCATTGGTAACAGAAGCAGCAATAAAGAAGTTAGCACATCCTGGCTCCTTTTCCTGCCTTAAATCAACCTGTGCTAGTGTTCTTTTAAAAGTGCATTTGACTCATTAGAAAGCATAATGGCAATCATTTGCAAGGAGATGACACTGCAGTAATCAGATGTCCAATTTTTTTCTAGAAGCAAAACCAAAATACCCAATACCATGGAGGCAAGCGCTAAAAACCAAAGCAAGTCTAAACCTCAAGTCTAAAACAGTAATTAGAAACTGAGCAGATCCCAACTCTTGGTCATATCAGCCATCTCTGAAAAATGGGTTGGGAAAAGAGTGAAAACACTACACTGAGTTGCTTCAGCTATGGGTGAATATGAGACCATTAAAAAAAAAAACTTAGCTGGGCATATCAAAATGATTGCACTAATTTGGAAATTGTAGGAATTGACAGAAATATGTCATATTTCTTGTAACATTTGCATTTGCTTTTAAATATTTTGGAGATAGTGAGGGTTGGTTTAGTTTAATAATTAAAATAGACTTAAGTAAATATTCTACTATCTTTAACCTTGTTAAATATAACTAATTTAATTTTCTTTTTCTTGGCAGACAAAATCAAAGAAAAAATATTTGAAAGTAAAGAAGGAAAGAAGTTTTGTTTTGGAATCCTCAGGAAGAAGATACTCTAAACATTTACATGAACCAGTGGTAGATTATAATTATTGTATAGTAAAAGTGCAAAACATAATTTACTATAACTTTCTACATCTTCCACCAAAGCACTGTTGCTTCCACTATATCTGTTTTCTTTTTTATAAATGTATTCTTTAAATTTCTTGCCTCCCTCTTTTTTCAGATCTTCCCAATTCAACCATAGCTTTCTTAGTCATTTTTTAAATTATTTTTTATTTTTCTTCCCATTGTAGATATTTATATTTCTGTATTATATTTAAAATTCACTTAAAAATGGAAAGAAACTGGAAGAATGAACAATATGTGCTGTAGTTTAGAAAGATCTATAAGATTAGTTCAGACTATATATTAGCCCAGCAAAGGAACCATTTAATGAAGATATATTATTCATGTTATTGTTGTGACTGTGGTTTTGTTATTTCGCCTACAAAATTTTCTCACAGATCATAAGATCAGGAGAGATCTTAATCAGGGACAATTTACCTTACAGAACATTAAAAAAACAAACATACTTATAAATTTAAATACAATATTTTCCTATTATGGGATATACAGTAATTCGGAAAGATTGTATCCTGAATGTTTTGTTCTTCTGTAGAAATAGAAGTAGAAAAGAAACATAAGAGTCTTGAAAATCTGGAAACAGTTCTATATCTTGAGTGATTATTCGTTGTAGTGATTAGTTTTTTTTCTTATTTAGAATGAATCCAAAAAACCAGAAGCCCCTTCTCACAGAGTTTCCAAGACCCAAGAACAAATAATTAAAAATGTAAATATTTTATTGTATCATTAAATTCTAATATAAAGCTCAGTGATCTGGTACAATGGTTCTACAGAAAATAATGAATAATTGACTTATAGCAAACCTTATGTGTGCAATAAGTCATTCTAGCCAGTCACATTTGTTTATTTTATTTTGCTGTGCATATCTGTCCATGCATAACAAGATCAAATGAACACTTTTTTCATTGGTTTTTTTCCTGAAATGTTTTCAACTGTCCTTCTATAGTTAGACCAAAGAGAAATATAACTGGTAATTCATCCAACCATCATTGTAACAGCATGACCATAATGAGGTAACCTTGATATAATTTCAAAACTGCCTGAGTAATTCTATGAAGTTTCTACAAGTCACTAATGCAGACATGAACTATTTCTGAATAAGTTAATTACTGTTAGGGGAAACGCTATGTATAAATTTTGCTACAAGTAATATTTTTATAATTATAAAATACAAATTCTTCATTTCAGCTAAAGACATTACAGAAAGTTACCATTGAAAATGTAGATGTACATCTTTTTCCATATCAATATTACAGTGTTCCTATCTACTGAAATTGTTTGATGCCACTTCTGATGCACTGGAATGATATACTTATCAAGACACACAATTAGAACTGAATAAGAATTGCTTATCATAAACTAGCCTTCCCCAATGTTTGCTTTCCAGCTGTGTTTGATTGTAAGTTCATTGTTCCTAACAAACATGGCATGTTGATACAAATAATAGATGTGGTAGTCTAAATATCTGGAGACATTAGTTTTAAGCCTTGACAATCAATTACCCCCAAAGCAATATTCTCACAGAAGTCTCTTTAATCAGATTTATTGAAATGGAAAAGGGATTAAGTTACAGAAATCTCAACAACTGAGTTGTTTTCATTTTCAGAATTCATTTTATTTCCCAGCCTTCTAAGACAGGAATCTCAGTCTCTTAACTACAGCCTCTAAATGAACTTGGGAAAAGGCATTTTTAAAAAAAAAATTGTAAGAGAAGAATATCCAGGTGTCCAAAAGGGAATCTGTTTGAGGCACTGAATATAATATTACATCAGATTTTGTCTGTCATATGTGAAGAAATTTTTAATCTCAAGATTTCTTTCTGTTATATTACGTATATTTGTTACCCATTTATCTTTCTCCAACAGGCCCAGGTTTTGCAGAAATTAAAACTGATGGAGTTACAAAACATGGAAAGAGAAAAGTATGAAATTACCAAGCAGAATGTAGAGACTTTTTCTAGAACAACAAATGCAAAAAAGGTTTGGCTGTCATCTTAGTAGAATAAATTTTGCAACATAAATAAGAGAATGCTGACTTCTTTTTTCTATATACTTTTAAATCTTATTGCTATACAGTTACCATTAACAAATATTATATTCATGCAGTGCATCATTTAAGTTATCGCGATGATTAAATATATATTTAAATTACTAAAATAGAATTATATTGTACAGCCAATTTGGCATTTCCCATTTCCTGCTTTTCCCATTCCTAAGATCATCATAATTGAAGTTGCTATAGGAATTGTTTAATATTTGTGTGTGTGAACATTACATTGTTTCTGTTAAATTAGAATAGTGCCATTATTGTTCCCCTCTACAAAGATAAAAATAGCAAGATTAAATGCAAAAACTAAAGGGGGTCACATTGGTAAGTTTGGGGATGCTGAAAGTTTGGGATAATCATATAAGGAATGGTTAAGGTGACTTAAATGGGATTGGTTTTGGATTTGAATGTATATGTATGTGGATGATAGCTAACAGTCTGAATGATTTGCAGTTAATATTGATTATATGGTTCTGAAAATTAATGTATCAAATTAGTGTATTTAACAGCAATTGCAAGTTATACATAGTGAAAAGCAAAGCAATCATATGAATATATATGACTTTATAGAATTTCACTCATATGTAAGCTTACAGAATGTTTACTAAAGTTGAGGACCTAAGTGGAGAAATGTAAAGATGTGCTAACACTGGAAGAAGACATCACTACAATAGCATATAGGCTATTACAAGGAAATATAGTATGTAACTAGCATATAGGCAGTTGTATATTTTATTGCAAGTAATGTTGTCCACAATATTGCAAAAGGAGGTGACATTTTTATGTTTAAGAATATGCTTCTGCCTGTTTTATTACACATGAAAGTTGGTTATGCCAGGAAGAAAAGTAAATTGAATGCATTGGAAATGGAATATTTAATATGTAGGTATGGTAAAACAAGAAGTGGATCTCATTCAAAAATGACCAGTGCGCAAAAAGTGTGTTCAGTGATTTGATCACATCGCAACCATATATGACAGTCAAATTGAAAAACAAATATATAAAGAAGAGTGATTTTATTGTGCAATTTACAAGAAAAGATAGGTCTGATGGCATTTCTGTAAACTAGACTTAGTGTATAGGTACTAAACTATAGGTATAAAGTAGACTTTTGTCCCCTTTGCTCATGCCTTATGCCTTCTGTTCCTTTGCCTTAATATTTCCTACTCCTTTTCTATTCTTTGATTAATGTTCTTCATTCCAAAAGAGCATGGTATGTGGATGTTCATATACTAAGGTTACGTTTGACTGATTAAAAATAAAATAGATAGTGTTTAGGCTTTAAGTTATTGAGTTTATGTGCAGAAAGAATACTTCATCTGTAAGCATTCCATTCTTTAAACCACTCTTCCTCATCCTGGTACCCTTCAAATGTGTTAGTCTTCACTTTCTCTAATTCTCTCAATTTAGACTAAAGCATCTATAATTTGGAATTATGATCAAACATAATGAGGAAAGATGCAGCAGTATTTAGCATACCCAGACTACTTATAGTCTGTGCCATAAAACTATTCATCACATATTTTAATTAGTCTTTACATATGAAAAAAGAAATGAGGGAGTTCAGAAATGTTGAAGAATAGTAATCATGCATTTGTCTCTGTTTTCTCTAATAGTCAAAGGCTTTAGCAGGGGTTCATGAATTGTTTAAAGAAACTAGTTCCATTTTAAAAAGTAAACCAGATCAAATGGCTTTCCCCTCTAAAAAAGGTAAGAACATTTTTATCAGCTTGTACATTTTGTTATTTACATGGTGCACTATAAATAGGGTATGTTCTACATTTTATATAATCTTCCAACTCCTATATAATGTCCTTATAACTTTCCATGCTCTGTTTTAGCTATGAAGTAGCAAGTACATGCACTACTGACTAACATTGCCCGTAAAATGTATTAAAGACTTAGCTTAGATAGCTGGAGTAAAAGTGTGATGAATAAAATAAAATGCATACATAAAATAATTATGGTTGGAGGGAGGGAGTTCCACTGGTAGTTACCACTTAATTTGAATGAACGAGTGAGTCAAGCATATTAAAAATAACACCTACAATAAAGTAAACTGTTTACTCATTTTATGAAATTAAACATTACAACATTAAAATTTTAAAATACACAATCAGGAATTGTTAAATGCCGGTTTAAAAAGATGATTTTTAAAATCTTTATAGAGCCCTATCTTGTTTGCAGATATAATGCTACTATGAGAGGACAGAGGAAAATGTGTTTTGGTGATAAGATATCTGTAAACTGATCATGTGCTCTAACACTATACTTGCATTGGACAGTTTAAAAAATAATAATATGGAGGAAGCTAGTCTTTTATTCCCCTTAAACATTTGATTCTCACTTTAAATTCCCATCCAACATAATTGCACGTAAAGATTACAGAAGAACTAGAATTTATTCTCAGATTAAATCCTTTCTTCTAGAGTCTGAACAAAGGTTATACAATGTTTTTGTTTACACTTCTTATATTTTATATTGTTCACTTAGTACATCTACTGGACATTTTCTGTGTTCCCAATTTGTATTTTAATAGGTAATTAAGTGTGGAAACTTTATATGTAAAACCTTTATATAAAAAAATACATGATTCTTCCAACCTGCCATTTAATTTCCTGATAAACTCATGGTGCATATAGACATGCTTGACATTCTGGATACAAAATACTAGATGAGGATGTCTTGAGGTCTGTAATTTCATTTATTCTTTAGTGAGTGTGTGTATGTATGTGTCTACCACTTTTTTGAACTTTTTATACATTAGATAAAATAGACTCTTTTTCAGAAAAATGTACTACAAGAAAACATTTTAAAAATTCAGATTAGGGTTATTTCTAATCCCATAGATATTTCACAAAGGTGTATGCATTTTAGAGAGAGAGTTAGAATGTGAAACATTGAATCTAAAGTTCTGTTAAGTCACAAAATCTATCACATGTCTTAGGCTAATCAGTGACCCATCTTAGATGATTATACCTTAATTTAATAATTGTGAATATGAATACAAATTGAACTGCCACAGCAATCCTTACTTTTCCTCTTCTCACTATATCATGACTAACTCTCAGAATATTTTGTTAAATGTCGATTATCATAGCATTCCAATATGGAAATTATTATTACAAAATCTTTAAACTGTAATTTAACGTTCTGGATTATACCAGATCTGGTAAACATAGTTTACTAGTGTACACACAGTGGCATAAATGCAATATATTATATTATTATGTTATAGCCCAATACTGAATACGCATATACTTTGAGATGAAGAGAATGGGAAAGAGCAATGCAAGGACAGAAAGCAAACACATAAGCCTATTGCTTGTGTTAATTTATTTATTGAAATAAGCCCTTTTTTCTTATGGTATACTAATTAATATTAATTATGTGAAGTTATATCAGAACTATCCCAGATATCTCTATTTACCTCTTGGAAAGCAAATCAAAATACACATACTTTTAAACAAACTTATCTGGAGGATTTATATTTTATCTGCATCATCATCATTATCTATTAAATTTATATGCAGCCCAACTCTGGGCTGTTACCAAATTTTGTGGTACCTTAAAAGCTAACAGGTAACAAATGTCTTATTATATACAGTAAACCTTAATAACTGTTGGTATAATTCACACACATGAAGTTATGTTTGAGGAAGTGTAAGCTGGGAGATGTTGAGGATACTGATTGCTGCACATAAACAACATAGCAACATAAACATTATCATACAGTAAAGGATACATCCACTGGTCTCTGTCATATATCCTACTCTATAAGCATTAGTCATCTTTGCCAGTGAAGAAGGTGGCTCATTTTGTTCATTTATCTATATTTTATCAATACAAATAAAAGCAACAGCCAAAAGCTTCTAGGATGATGAGGAAAGGAATGAAATGTGTGTAATGACATCTCAACACAAACTTTGTGAATCATATTTTTCCTCCAATATTGGAATACACGTACAAGAGATAGGATGGCATTTTTTATCATCATGAATGTCTATGGCCACAATAAATCCATTACTGTATCGCTTTCATATCTTTAATTTCTTTTTCTCAGATGCTATACCGAATGTGCCAAGTAAATATACTCTTCAGTATCTGAGTCATTATTTCCCTGAGCAAGGATTAAGTGAGTGATTCATTTATAAGTACGATTAAGATAGAAATGCATGTATAAACATTATATTTACAGGCAGCACAATATAATGAAATTATGACTATGAAATACATATTTGTAGCCAAGCTGTTTCCACAGTGCTTGTTCCCAGGTCTAGTCACAGTTTACAAGAATAAATTATTTAATTCTGCATTTTATTACAGTGGAAGTGAACTATGCTTCTTGATTTTCCTAGGCATATTAAGAATTAGATTCCAATTTAACAAATTAATACTATAGAAAAACTACCGAAGAGTAAATACTGTTACGGAATGTAAACATATATAAAATGTCTAAATGAAATCTAATCCCTAAAATGCTGACAGCTAAAATGTCCCTTTTGGGTAAAATTTATCTTGTCTGAGGGTGGAAATGGAATGCTGTTTGAAAGCAGTGAAAAGTGTTAAGTGTTTGATATCATTTCTGTTGGCCAGACTTACCAAATCAAGTTGACATTTGCCATAATTCTTTTTTCAATTTTGTGATTCTTGATAAAATAATTACACCTCCAGCTTTTAGGATTGTGAAGAAAAACTAAAAACAAAATATGATTATAATAGTAGTGTTTTACAAAATAAATTCAGTGACGTAATTTTGCATTTTTCTTAATTTTCAAACTTAGTTACATGTCAGTTGACTTAATTGCAAATAAATGTACACACATTCAGCATTTTCTAGTTAATAAGATTGTATGTACAGTATGAGAGAGCAAATCTAGGCACTTAAGAGCTAGATAGGTTCCTTAACTATATTTAATACAGTCAACTTTTATCACTCAAGATTGTATTACAGTACTGTGTCTGGGTTTGGTCTTTTATATAAACAGATTTTGGATGGGACCTAACTCACCCTTTTAAGCACGTTGTTTCCCAGAGACTTTTCCTACCTCCCACTGCTAATAACCAAATGTGCAATACACCAAGGAAAAATAGTGCACTTCTGGGTTGCCGACTTCCTAAAGTGGAAAATATGAAGAGGGAAATAAGCATCCATCAAAAAAGTTAAGTATTGTAGCACAATATTATGAGATTGGGGAGGGGGAGGCAATACATAATAAGAAGTGATCAACCATGCAGGTATAGTAAATATTATATGGTTATTTCCTTTCATAGACAAATCTGATGGTAATTACAGCCAGTTTTAGAAGGCTTCTGTAACCTGACACCCTTCAGTTGTGTTAGGGCGGGGGTGTCAAACTGGCAGCCAGTGGGCAGGATGTGTCACATGTAGGCCATGCCCACCCCAGCTCCGCAAAGGGAATAACGTTGCAATACATAACGTGACGGCAATGTGATGCCGTGAGTTTAACACCCATGTGTTAGGGCTATGACTCTATTTACTAGTTCTCAGGACACCCCAAAAGTGACAGATTGGGAAGACAAAGTCATTTTAATCAATGTATGAGTGATATACAGATTAAGATAATGTAACATTTTTATAGATTTTAGAAACCATCAAACATCATAGAGGTACTTAGGAATTTTCTCATTTTTATCCAGATAACTATCTAATAAAGTGTGCTGTTACAACTTGCCCAAGCCCCAGTGTAGAGCTTAACAGCTAAATAGGGTTTTGAATTTCCATCTTATTTCCTCAAATATAAGAGGCTTAACAGCTAAACCATTGCCAGTTGTTAATATCTGGCAATGGTTAGGGTTTGGAGTTACACCATACAAAAAAAAGGTTATTATTTCGTGAATATTACATACTATGTCATTCTAGAATATTTAAATATACATGACCTCAAATATAAAAAAATGTGCTTAATTGCTTGAGTTCTTCAACAATAATCCAAAATATCACAACAATAATTTTGATGTTCACAATTTCCATGAGCCATTTTTTCATAAATTCTGTATTTTTATATAATCATAGAGTTGGAAGGAACTATTTAGGCCAAGGCCAATTTTGTTTTGTTGTAAATCATTAATAAATAAATAGAAGCTAATTTTTTTTAGATTAACAATATCTTTAAAATATTTAAAACAAGGATTTATACCATCTGGTTAATTTTAAGCGTCCAAATGAATGAACATAAGCAGAATTATTTTCTTGTATAAAAACTACAATAGTAATCAAAAATATTAATGTGGCTCTCTAACAGGGAAGAGAATAATGATTTTCATTCTTAACATAAAAAAGGATTGAAATCCATGTAATAAATAAGGACCTTTATTTTTAATTATACCATTCGTTGTCTTTTTCTCTTATTTATAGCATCATTTATACAACTGGAGAGTCACCCAAGGTAGGAAAACTGTGTATTTGTTATTAGCAATTTCTGAAACCCTCATATTAAACCTTTGGAAAAATCTCATAGAATCTAATTTAATATGGATCAGTCAGGTAAGATTGCACATGTGCTTTATAAAATGATTTTCTCTAGTCTTTATTTTAATTATCTTTCTATCATTCTGTCTTACAATAAATTTTACATTGCAAGCTTGGGTGCAAGTACTATTTAGTAGATTTATTTTAATCAAAAAGTTCACTCTAATTAACTGAGCAATAAATTTCATATAATTTATATTAGAAGTAATTTAAAAAAATCTGCAAAGGGTAAAACATCATTCTAAGAGAATTTCTTCTCTTTCATATTGACAGTTGGAGTGTTCTCTTATGGGATAAAGCTTGCCATGACACTTAGTTATAATCTACAGAGAGAGAAGAACACTTATTTTAGAAATGATATTTTATTAGTGCAGATACAACCAGTAGGTTATTCAGAAGTCATAATTTCACATTTTAAATGGATTGTAGTCCAAGTGATTATATCTAGGTCTTAATTTATTCAGCTTTTTAATAAGCTTTATGATTGTGCCACGATATGTTTTCTGAAAAATACTGAATGCTATAAAGTCATTTTAGTATTTATCAATACTTTAAGAATCCACTTATTTAAAATGAGTTATGCAAAATTTGCTTATAAATATTAGAAAAGAAACATTTGCCAGTTCCTAGAAGCTCAGAAACAAGTCAAATTTTTCATATCCAAATATTGCATAAATGTAAGCATAAGTACTATTTCACAAAATGATTGATTTGACTGTACTGTATATTTCAGAAGTCACAACATTTTTGAAATGTATCCTTTTTGTATCACTAAGAATTCATTCATTTTGCATGTTATTTTCTTCTGAGTTTTGAGATGCTTAATCTTAATCTGTTTCAGCTCTTTATATCTGCCTCAGCCAGAAGCAGAAAATCAGCCTGAAAGGAGCTGTGTTACACTGCAGTTAGAAGAAAAAGAACTACAAAATATTGCTCTAGCTCAAGAAATCCATTTAAATGCTCCATATAAAAAAGCTGCGACCTGGCGATTAGAAAAGTATCAATCTGGAAAAACCAATAGTTGTAAAGAGAAGGCATCTCCCGAAATCAAAGGTTTTTCTCATATTGGAAATTAAATCTTTATCATTTACAATGGGTTTTATATTCTCATCAAAATTTCGAAAATACATTGGCTAGTTTACTTGTATATTATAAAGGGCGGGACCTTAAAGTTTTCCAAGTCTTGATGAGCAACTTGTTAAAATATTTTAGTGGATACATTATCTTTCTTAGGAAAAGGAATACTAATTTTAGCTTGAGGATTTCTTCTTACTTACTGAAGAATATTCTGATAAATTAATCAACTACAGAGTCAATAATAGCAAAAAGTAGTAAAACATATTTCAATCACGTATGCTCATGATTAGCCATTTTAACCTGCCTGTCAAGCTGGCAAAATGAGGGTTGGGTTGGTTACCATCTGATACAAACATAAAATGTTTATTCACATTGTATTTTTTCGTTCTCATTTATTCCTTCTCAGAGGAGAGGAATAACTGGAAATAATGTTTGAACTACAAATTTGTATTCTGGGTGAGAAAAGCCAGTGTTTAGAAGTCGAAGAACATTTAATAAAATATAATTTTCATGCTACTTTATGAAATGTATATCCAGTACCGCTCAAAAGAGGATATGGAGAATGAATTAGCCTCACATCATACAAAAACACAAATGTATATACATAATGCCTTCTGTGAAAAGACTGATACAGAGTACCAATTAAATTTAACAATGATTTAAATTTATTTTTAATCATTCACATCATTATATCATTACTTATTTTAAAGTAAGACTTGAAATACACTTTTGATATTGAGTGAACAGCTTCTGGGGTAGTGGGCTGTTTCTAAGATTTAAATATATAGATGAGTTGAGATTTTAGAATCCCATTTTTAGTTATTAATTTATTATACTTTTATATCACCTTTTATTTGGGTTGTGCATGAAATAATTTGGGGGAAAACTCATTGGGGAACTTTATGTGGTTCATTAAATTATGAAACCAAGCAAGTTGAACTTGAGGGCCTTCCTTCCTTCTTCTCTTCCTCCCTCCCTCCTTCCTTCCCATCCAACTTAAAACAACTGGGTTGGTAGCAAGAGTAGAAAAATGACAGAACAAAAAATACAATTAAAAACAATCATAATAGATTACAAGAGTTGGGGGCATCATACTTAGTCCCCAAAATGTGTGTATTAGGATCCACTAACAACCTGGCCCTAATGCCTGAAGGAAAAGCCAGGTTTTCACAACCTTCTGGAAGGCTGGGACCATGTAGATCTCGAGGAGGATGTTCCATAGAACAGGTATCAATCACTACACAGAAGGCATGTCTCCTGTCTTGGGTTCCAGAATATAATTTCAAATAAGGAGCCTGAAGCACACAGCACTATTGGATGTGGCAGGGTGGACAAAAACTACTGGAGACACGTGAACGTCAATTAAGATGGCCCTATAGGGCTTTAAAGGTATAACCAGCACTTTGAATTGCACTTGGAAGTCTACTGGAAACCAGTGTGGGTCATGCAACAGTTGTGTCACAGTGTTGAACCTAATGCATCAAGTACTGGCCACTACTACATTCCGGACCATTTGAAACTTCCAAATGCTTTTCAAGGGCTACCCCTTGCAGAACATGTTGAAATCCAAATGGGAAGTGACTAAGGCATGAATGACTTACATGCAGAGCTTTCTAATCTAGGAACAGATGAAACTTACATATATGATGGATTTGTTGAAAGAACAAGGTCACATATTGCCCATCAATTCTCTCTGGGGGAGTGATATCCCAGCCAGAGTTATGAATTGAAAAGCTCTGTGAGAGCTAATATTCTAAAACTTCGAAAGAATTAAAAATTAAGCTGGGACAGAATTATAGTTGGCTGAAATCCTTGTGCTGAAGACTAAACATGGAAGAAGAAGAAATCCCTCACAATGACATGTCACTTCCATATTACTGTCAGATAAACTTTCTTCCTTCCTTTCTGTCCCTCTCTCTCAAACATGCACATATTCTCTGCAGAGCTCAGAATCCTTTTCATAAGAGAAGATGATCTGGGGGAAAATTTAAGATATCAGGGAAATTTTTAAAATATCAGATCATAAATGAACATAATGATTTATGACACAAAGGCCAACTTGAAATACATTTTTCCTAATTGAATATAATATGATATACGCTCACATGACTCCAAGATCTGAAAGAAGGATACTGCAGGATGGGAGGATTATTTTTCTTCTGTAGAATAGGCTAATGTAAATTTATTAATACATTACAGGAAAAAAAATCATGTAAAAGGGGCTAGGACTAAATTGTTGAATTGTATATTCAATTGATCTTTGGAAACATTGTCTCAAATTTACTTGTTTTTGATCACAGGTTTCCCCGAGACACAAAAAAGTAATGTACCTGGAAGCAAAGATAAAGTAAAGGAATTGTCACCAGCAAGGAATGCTAAAACTAACAGAATTGCTAGAGGGAACTGTGAAGAAGGTCTTAAACTGAACAGGTCTTCTATTAATCAAGATTTACTACTCTCCCTTCCTTTGATGTCTGAGGGAAAATACAGTCAACCCACCGAAAAATATTTGAGGAGTGAACGACATCTAAAATCCTTGGGCCGACACCGGTAAGTAAAATGTAGTATCTATTCTATTCAGACTGACGTTTAATGCTTCCATCCAAAGTTGTTTTGTGATTCCTGTTTTTAGTGAGAAAATCAAGTTTCTGTAACAATGAACAGAAGATTCAGCAAAACAGTACAATTCCAGATCAAGAAATACTTCACTGAAGTAAATTTCAATTAAATTATATTACAAATAATATAAAGAAGCATTCTGAACTCACTGAATAAAGAATGTGGCCACAGCAAGTCAGGAAGAAAAAATATACGTATATACTTATATGTAATATACGTATATATAAAATTTTGTACTTTTTCAAAATAAGTAGCTTCCAGTCATCTATGTTTTACATCCGGATTCACTGATTCTAAAAACAAACATGGTCTCTGTTGTGGTGGACAGCCTGGATTATCAACAAGTATGTTATGAATCATATATACAACTTGCAAAATAATTTTAAGGTATTGCTCTTTAAAATTACTTTGTTTTCCTTATTTGTGCAGACCACGCCTGGCTACTTTACTGACTACAAAAGGGCCCAACAAGACAATTTTAGTGAAACATTCTGAAGACAATGAACCGTCCAGGTCTCTACTACAAAGCAGGCCAAAAATGCTATCAAGAAACCTGCTTTGCCAGAGTGCAAGTAAATTTTTTCCTAAGAGATGTAAAAGTGACAGACCTTCAGTGCAAGATCTTCCAAATACAACTGAGAGGATTTCTTTTCATGCGTAACACGAGGTGCAGTTTCTTTTGTACTGTTTCGGACTACGCAGAAGTGATATCATCTGAGCAGACTGCTTTACCTCTTTAAACACCATACTGGGAAGATGTTGCATGCACAAGATTGGAATATTGGATACAAACTAGAACATCTGGGAGAGAGGTGGCTGTGAATAATATAAAGAAAACTAAAATATGATCTGATTTATTTATTTTTATTGTTAGCCAATTGCACATGGAAGCAAGTTGAATCATTTCATTTCTAAATATAATATTTCAACAAAATGATCTGGAAAAAATGAGATGGGAATTGGGTTTCTCAATGCCAAATCATATTAAACGGGTAGGATTTTCATTCCATAATAAAGTGTTGAATCTAAAAGAGAAAAAAAAAACTATAAACTTAAATGGTTTCTCTTTGGGTTTGTCTTAAGCATGCAATAGAGGAAATAAGGTTACTTTTCCAATTTGGGACTGCAATAATTAACTCCATGTTTCTTATGAAGAGGTAAAATATACATCGCTGTATATAAATGTCTTGGAAATCCTTATAATTAATTATTCCTAGTTTCCAATGAACTTCATCTTAATTATACTTAAAAATAATTATAATTACAAATAACTACCATGTGACCAATTTTATATTGAAAGACACCAGTTTTTGCTGATCCCTGGTAAATTCCAAGTATCAATAATTATATATATCTGCCAGCTGATCGATCCAGTGAACTGAAATCCCATCCATGAAAACTTACGTTCTAATACGTATAGTATTATACATTTTTAATTTTTGTCACTTAGTAAGGCAATGATGATGATAATGCTATCCATTCAGTCCAGTCAGACTCTTGATGATTCTATGGGCCATTTTCCAATCATGCACTATTTTCTTGAGTTGTTCTGTTTGGCCTGTGTCATGTTTGATGGTATCCAACCACTGTGTTATTTGGCAACTTCAGAGATGGTATTCAGCTGGTTTGGACTGATTCGGGTGAACCAGTATCAGAAATTTTGAGTAGTTTGGAGAATCAGCAAATACCACCTCTGGCTGGCCTCTCCCAACTGCCCCACCTTTACCTTTTCCAGTTCTAAATTCCCTTGTTTTTTAGCTTAGCCGATTTGCATGGCAGAGCGGATTACCATGCCTTAGCTCACCTCACCAGCACTGACACCGAGGAAGGTCTTTGTTGCACTGCATGAAGCACTCTCTCATAGATGTAATCACACTACTGGCTGGCCCTGCCCACTCCACCCTGCCTCACCTGGGTCGGGGAAACACGCCATTCTCCTGCTCTGGCCTTGCCCCAGGCCTCCACCCGTATGCCACCACCTTCTTTTAGCTTCAAATCATGGGCCATAAAAATTTATTCGGCCTGCTGCCTGCCACAATAGGCTGACGGGCTGTGGGGGGAGGGGGGGCACAGGAGGACCAAAGTGGTTTGGAAATGGACTGGATGGTTCTTCTTACCTGTAACAAGTCCTATCCAGAAAGCACTGCAATGGAGTCCTTGCAGCCATTTCTTCCGTCCCCTCGCCTCGATTACTCGCAGAAATGCTCCATGTGCTCTCCGGGTCGGCAGCTGCTTCTCTCCGCTGCTGCTGTTGCTGGGAGAGCATCTTGTGCAATTTAGCAGCTGTGAGCTGCTATCCATCCGGAAAGCGCCGTGGCTGAAACAGCATTCAACATGGCTGCTGCTTCTCTGTGCCGTAGTGTTTTCCCGATGGGACTTAGAGGAAAGCAGCGGCTCACAGCTGCTAAATTGTACAAAAAGCTCTCCCAGCAGTGTGGAGAGAAGCAGCCACTGTCCTGGAGAGCAGAGATGGAGGGGAGCAGGCCCCAAAAGGTGGCTCGGTCGAGTCTCGCTGTATGGTGGAAGCTGCACATGTGCACGGAAGCTTCCTGTGCATGCATGTGCATGCGCTCATATTTTTGAAGAAACGGTAGTGGGATTATTTGAAACCCACCACTGGGCGACTTGGTTTTCTTTTACTGCTAAATCTTCCAAACATAATTGCTATCATCAACGAATAGTATACATGTTAAAGCATTATTTTTGCAGAATTACCTGGAATTAGAAATAAATGGAAATTCCAGTCAGCATTTGAGTACACTTCTGTTATCCAACCAAGAGCTTTTGAATAGCCAAGATCCTCCTAAAATAGGGGCAGGTGATTAATTTCTCTAAGGGGCTACATGGAAAAATGGAACTGCGGTGAATTGCCACCCGTCCCCTGGCACCGCTCCCCCAATGGTGCAGGTCAGACAAGAACAGCCAAAGGGCCAAATATGGCCTGCAGCCAAAAAATGCCCGGATCTGTTCCAGACTGTTCATGCACTACTAACTTTAGTTCAACTATGGATTTTGGAATTTTTAATGAAAACGATATGACTATTACTGCAGTTAGCCCATTTTATTCTTTCCTATTGATCCTCACTAGGATCCCTAACTATTGTTAATTTTCACTTGAATTCCTCCTCTGTTCCCATTGGAGTATTAGTGATTTTTTTTCTTTTTTTAAATATACCTCTACATTACTATAAAAAGAGAGAGAAGAAAAAAATAACCAATAGAAGATACTTGAATGAGGAGGAGCAGTTAAGATAGTCAATATTTGAAACAATTAATCACTTATGTGCTGCTGGAGTGGCTCAGCCGATTAGGCCTATAGACTAAAAGAGATGAATTAAAAATGCAAAAATTTGAAAAATCAGTAAAAAGTTGAAGTATTTTTGTCTGAACAGGATGCTGTTTCAGATTTTTTAGATAGATAGGAGGGAAAATCAAAATGAAATGTGTCCCATTTCCATTTCTGTACCACACAAAACAACAAAATGAACTTGCTCATATTCAGATATAAGAGTATAAAGAACACCAAGATTTCATCTTAGCAGGTGCTTCTATGCTGGGTAAACATACCTGTAACAAGAAAGGAGTCCTTGCTTACTGGCCACTTATTCAGAGACTGTTCATAGTTACCCACAGTGCTGAAAAAGATTTATGACCAGTTGTCAAAGTTGTCTCCCTCACGACATGATCACCATTTGCAATCTTCACAGCAGACTTTGGAAAAACAAAATCTGGAGAAGCCAGCAAGAAAATACAAGCTGCAGTCCAGTGACCTGCTTAACAACTGCAACTGGAACTGATATCCTATGTTGGCATAATCGCATGATGTTTCACTCTATGCTTGTGTCTCTTAGCCAAGCAGTTGCCAGATCCAGTTGTAAATGAGGACTAGCTGTACACATAAATTAAGTCTGTGTGAATAGATCACTTTTAGATTTTAGTAAGCTTTTTCAGATCTTATGTGAAAGAATCCTAACAATAAGACAGCAATGAAATTATATATGGCTATTCCTGATAAAAGCATTAAAAAAATCTGTTTGTTCTAATTGGGCTACTTAGAAGAAAAATCAAGCAACAAAATCCCAACCCTACAGAACCAAAAAAATAGGAAGGAAGCCTACAATTGGCAGTTATAATAACTGCCTAGAAACTATGTACCTTATGCATTTTGTGCCTTGCATCACGTTTCTGTGTATGTGCACAAGGGCACAACACTATTTGTCAAGTGTTTCTGTTCTCTTGCTATTGGTGTGTGCAGGTGTTTCTTCTGCTTCTAAGAGGAAATATTTTAAGAACCTAAATTCTAGACCTAGAAAATCTAGAACGCCGCCGCCTACGGTCCGATCTAAGTATAGTATATAAAATTATACATTGCAATGTCCTATCTGTCAATGAATACTTCAGCTTCAACCATAACAACACTAGAGCAAACAATAGATACAAACTCAAGATAAACCGCACCAAACTTGATTGCAGGAAATACCACTTCAGCAACAGAGTGGTCAACGTCTGGAATACTCTACCTGACTCTGTGGTTTTTTTCCCCAAACCCCAAAAACTTTAAGCTTAGACTGTCTATTGACCTCACCCCTTTCCTAAGAGGTCTGTAGTGCATAAGCGCACCAACGTGCCTACCGTCCATTGTTTCTTTTATTTTACTTATATGTATCCATATATTCATAACTATGTTTATACTTATACCTGTTATTTTATAATCGCTTGACAAAACTAAATAAAAAAGAAAAACTGCGATGTTGGGAGCGATTGAGCATCGCCTCCCAATCGCTACCATTTCTCTCCTGGAAACAGCGTCACCCGGGGAATACTCGAGCGCCTGGTTTAGCTGGGCCGTTTTTAAAAGATCGTGTTTCTCGATTTCAACAACTTTTAAGATGCGTCAACTTCATACGGGCTGAGGAATGTTGGGAGTTGAAGCTCGTCCGTCGTAAAATCGCCGAGGTCGAGAAGCATCGGCCTGCCCTCCGACGAAGACTTTCTGCTGTCCTCTCTGGTTGTTTACAGAAACGCTTATTACAGGTCAGCTCTGAAATTTGGAGTCGTTGGCCCTTTTGTGTTTTGTGAAAGGCAGGAAGGAGGAAACAAAAACGCCTAAAACTATCTGACGTTTCTGCTTTATCACCAAGCTTTCGCGCTTAGAGTTGATATATTTATCACAATTACAGTAGTCATAATTCTATGAGTCTTACAGAGGCGTGCCTAAACTGCGACAGGCATATTTAAAAAGCATAAGCACAAGAAAATGTCAAGCAGTACAGTAAATATGACGCAGGAAAACAGCCACGGGACAGCATATTTACCACCAGTCCCTAGTAGGAAAGAACCCGACTGCTGAGAAAGCGACAAAAACGAAACCGAAAGGGAAATCTGCTGAGGTTACCACGTGATCCCAGAAATAAAAACAGATCAAGCCGTAAACAAGACTGAAATTAAGACTGAGCGCTAAGGAGGATCTCTTCCAGCAGTGGGACTTTAATTCCTTTGGATCTGCCGGCAAGTAATAACCTTTTGAAAATTATTACTACTCCTGGCTACTTTAACCGTTCACGAGGTGTAGGGCCATTGTAATACGGAACTAGAGATAGGCAAGATCACTCTTTTAATTCTTCTCGGTTATTTTGCAGTGGTCTTGAAATACTTGGCAGCCCCTGCCTCCGACGGCTCCCGACTGGGGCAAGAGAACGGAAGCCCTGTGGGGTTTCTAATTGAATTGGCTTCCACGGAGGCAGCCCAAACTAAAACCGTCGAGGCGCCCCTTTCCCTTTCTTCTCGTACTAAGTCGGATCTCGAACAAAGTCTTTAATCCAGCCTTCCGCATCCTAATGCTCCGCGGATGGATTGGATTGCGTGTTGCCTGCGATTTTGGATCTGTTAATCATAGATTTGTTCATCATAGTAGATTTGTTTCTCTTTTTGTGCACATGACTGAAGTTGCAGTTTTAATGCAGACTTAGTTCACCCTCAAATCACCCTAAAGCAGGGTGGTGATTTTCTTTCTCCCTCACACAACCCCACCCCCTCCAAAGCAGTCCCATTCCTAGCCTGCTTTGAGTTCCGTTCTCAGGCTGCACGCAGGGAAAGCAGCAGAAGCCTTTCTTTCTCTCCCCCAAACTCCGCCAGAAATGAGTCTTTGCAGCCCCTTGGAGCAGGATGCCTTGCCAGGGTCCCAAAGACTCATTTCTGGCAGTTTGGGGGATAGACGGACAGACTTTTGCTGCTTTCCTTGCGTGCAGCCAGAAGCAGAAAAGAAGCAACCAGGTGGCCAGGCAAGTTCCCCCCCTGCCCCCTTTCCCCCCTCCCCTCACTACTTCATGTTGTTCCTGATGCAAGCCTTGTGTTCCCGGGCCATGTGGGAGGCACAGCCTTGTGTTCCCCGCAGCCTGGAATAATTGCTTTGGGGGGTGTTTTGGGATGGCATTCCTAGCCTGCTTTGAGCTCTGCTCTTAGAGGGAGGGGGGAGGGAGATCGATCTAACCTGGGGGGCTGGTGGTTTTCTTTCTCTCTCCCCCTCACACACCGTCACATCCGTTCCTAGCCTGCTTTGAGTTTCAATCTCAGGCTGCACGCAAGGAAAGCAGCAAAAAAAAATATTTCTATCCCCCAAACTCTGCCGGAAATGAGTCTTTGGGACCCTGCAAGGCATCCTGCTCCAAGAGGCTGCAAAGACTCATTTTGGGCAGAGTTTGGGGGATAGAAAGACTTTTGCTGCTTTCCTTGTGTGCAGCCAAAAGCAAAAGGCGAAAGAAGCAACCCAGTGGCCAGGCGAGTTCCTTCCTCCCCCTCACTACCTCAGGTTGTTCCTAATGCAAGCGATGGCTTTGTGGGCTGCACAGCCTTGTGTCCCCCACCAGCCTGGATTAATTGTTTTGGAGAGGGGGTGCTTTGGAGTGGCATTTCTTTGCGGACTACCAAAATTTTAAAACGGCTGCGCTAAAGAGCATTCTTTGCCTACTGAATTTGAAGAAGGGTGTAATAAGTATTGTACACATGTGTCTTCTATCTTGTAAAGAAAGCATGTTTAGTCAATATCCAAACATAAGAGGCACCATGAATCACACCAGAAGAAAACCAATGATCATGTTATGATTTGCTTCAGATGCTCCTGTTGTAAGGGACATTGCCTATGAAACTGGAGGTAGTATTGATACAACTTTTATCTAAGAATTTGTATAATTCTCCCTTTAAAATTTTTCATGCTATTGACCCTTACTAAGTCTTGTAGTGAATTCCATTTTTTACATGCATCTTCTGAAAAGGCATCTGTTGTAAATTTTCTACCATTTATTATTACAATCTTTATAATGCGCTAGACTTGTTTCCTTAATCCCCAAGCATATCAACTACTATAGACTATGGTTAAAATTCAAAATAAGAATCTGAGTAGCACCAGCTTGTGTTATTCCTAACACCAGATTATGAAATATGAGAGGGAATAACTATTTGTTTCTTCTTAACATGTCTAATTTTATAACTTATTTTTAACCTTTCCTCCCCTTTAAAAATATCTCCAACAGTATAATATTTCTGAACAGTTTGGGGGGGGGGGGAAGACTCCAACGTTACATTTGGAATCTTTTGTATAGGAGCTAGACTTGGTCTTTGAAAGCTCTGCTGGAAGCATGTACAAGCAAAATTAAAAACATTCCAATTTTTTCCATTTCTACAGCATGAAATTTTTTTATCATTTACAAATTACAATTTGTAAAAACTTTTGGAAGTTTCAGTGGCTGTACCAAACCTTTCCAGGAGTGTGAATGATCTTGTGTATGATGTATATTTACTAACTATAGATTGTAAACCATCAGATATGGCTTGATATTGTATGAACCAGGCAAATTGCAATTTATTAAAAACACTGTTGATAATAGAAACATGATTTGAATCACATTGTTATAACATTGTATAAAACTGGTCCCTAAGACAGTTAGGAAGTATGTGACAAAGTGGAGACATAGTCCCTAGAAGCCAATCTGACTGTTTTACTTTCTTCTGTTAGGTATTCAGGCGAAAAATGCAGCTGAAGTTCCCAAAAACCATTGCTGAATTCGTTAAAGGGTTAAGTGAGACAACCTACGGTTCCTGCCTCTTGTACCTGAGTAATTTCTCCCTTGCCATTGGTTATAATGCTTTGCTATTATATGCCCTTGTCTGGGAAGCTGGGAATATCATCAGTCTTCCCACCAAAAGAATTGGCTTCTACAATTTCTGTTTGTGGAATCAGAAAGCAGAACTGGATTGCCTCATGATCAAAGAAATAGAGAAGTTGGGAATTAGCAACGTTGCACTGGTGCTATCAAGACTGTGTGTATACATCAGCCCCGTTTTGTGTCTCTTCAGTGCCAGTACAATCGTGCAGCAGGCCTTTTCCTCCAAAGACAGAGATGGGTGGAAACTGGCTCAGATTCTTCTGTCTGTTACCAGTGTGAGTTTGCCTGTTGGTCTCATTTTGTTTATTTTTTCCACTCAGAAATGGATTCAAGTCTCTGAACTCAGTGAGGGTTTTGCAGCCCTAGTTGGAGCTTACATTTTACTTCTCCTCCATCTGCTCATAATTAGCCTCTACCTTGCAAAGTACAAAAACACTCTTCATAAGAGACCTTTGACTGCAGCCTAGAGCCTTCCATGAGTTTTTGTTCAATTGACACACTGAACTGCAAAATAGACTACAAGAATTTGTCATGCAACACCATCCTCTATTTACAGTTCAGTGAATTTTGAACCCAGAAAATTGAGTTCAGTAAATCTTAGTTGGATATGGATAACTTGCTTGACAAATGTGTGGCAGCACCTGAATGTAACACACACTATATGAGTGGCAGAACCAGTGCAAAGACACCTTCCAAGGCTGAATAAATTCAGAGAAATGCTTTCCAATGTATGTGAACTGGAACGGAGGTAACACTCTTACCACTATACTTAATGCATAGCTTCCCCTATTTCAAAGGCTGGAAGATCAACTAAAGCTGTTTTAAGAGGAAACACATTCGATTTAAGAATTGTGCTAAGTTTGGGGAAAGGATTAAGGTAAAAAGGAGTAAAGTATTGAAGCACCATAAAATCCTCCCACAAAAGATTTTAGTCACTTCTATTTTTGGAGCACAGCCCTTGCAATAGAAAGCATGGTATGGCCTGTAAACAGAGAGGGAGAGAGAGAAAGAGAATTTCCAGTGCTGAAAAGGATTATTTTAATCCTAGAACATAACAGAAGGCTTATTCAGTCTTCACACGTATTATAGGTATATCTCTTACTATTTGGTTATTGTGCAAATAAAACAGTAAGATTATCTACATACCAGTATATTGCCATTAACCTTTAAATGGGAAGATTTTCTTTCCCCAGAGTTCTGATTGTATGTGAACAATGTTAAGAGCTTTTAATTAAAACTGAATTATTTCTATGTTTATATTAGTATATGGTAAGTCCATCTTTCTGTCAACCAAATTTCTGATGGAAACAAAGTTATTTGTAAAGTAAATAAAACAATCTTAATTATTAATGGATGTGTCAGACTTGCATTTGTAAATATCAATAGCATTTATTCACTTTACACTGCACAAAAAAATAAAGAACATAAAAATAAGACATCTAGATCTGAATGAATGAAATATTCTTATTAAATACTTTGTTCATTACATAGTTGAATGTGCTGACAACAAAATCACACAAAAATTATCAATGGAAATCAAATTTAGTAACCCATGGAGGTCTGGATTTGGAGTTACACTCAAAATTAAAGTGGAAAAAAACACTACAGGCTGATCCAACTTTGATGTAATGTCCTTAAAACAAGTCAAAATGAGGCTCAGTAGTGTGTGTGGCCTCCACGTGCCTGTATGACTTCCCTACAATGCCTGGGCATGCTCCTGATGAGGTGGCGGATGGTCTCCTGAGGGATCTCTTCCCACACCTGGACTAAAGCATCCCCCAATGCCTGGACAATCTGTGGTGCAATGTGGCATTGTATGGAGCGAGACATAACGTCCCAGATGTGCTCAATTGGATTCAGGTCTGGGGAACGGGCGGGCCAGTCCATAGCATCAATGCCTTTGTCTTGCAGGAACTGCTGACACACTCTAGCCATGTGAGGTCTAGCATTGTCTTGCATTAGGAGGAACCCAGGGCCAACCGCACCAGCATATGGTCTCACAAGGGGTCTGAGGATCTCATCTTGGTACCTAATGGCAGTCAGGCTACCTCTGGCGAGCACATGGAGGGCTGTGCGGCCCCCTAAAGAAATGCCACCCCACACCATTACTGACCCACTGCCAAATCGGTCATGCTGGAGGATGTTGCAGGCAGAACATTTTCCATGGCGTCTCCAGACCCTGTCACGTCTGTCACATGTGCTCAGTGTGAACCTGTTTTCATCTGTGAAGAGCACAGGGAGCCAGTGGTGAATTTGCCAATCTTGGTGTTCTCTGGCAAATGCCAAACACCCTGCACGGTGTTGGGCTGTAAGCACAACCCCCACCTGTGGACGTTGGGCCCTCATACCACCCTCATGGAGTCTGTTTCTGACCATTTGAGCAGCCACATGCACATTTGTGGGCTGCTGGAGGTCATTTTGCAGGACTCTGGCAGTGGTCCTCCTGTCCCTCCTTGTACAAAGGCGGAGGTAGCGGTCCTGATGCTGGGTTGTTGCCCTCCTACGGTCTCCTTGGTACTGGCCTGTCTCCTGGTACTGCCTCCATGCTCTGGACACTACGCTGACAGGCACCGCAAACCTTCTTGCCACAGCTCGCATTAATGTGCCATCCTGGATGAGCTGCACTACCTGAGACACTTGTGTGGGTTGTAGACTCCGTCTCATGCTACCACTAGAGCAGGCTTGTCCAACCCGCGGCCCAGGTCGCCTCGTAATGCGGCCCAATGCCCACCGCAACCATCGTGCCACAGCCAGCAAGAAGGAAGAGAGGCAAGCGTGAGGCGGGGCGAGGCGAGCGCCAGGCCAAGCAGCAAGAGAAAAGGCGGGCGCCGTCAGAACGCCACCTCCTGCTGTTACCGCTACCGCTGCTGCTTCTGCCCCCGCCGCCGCTGCTGCCCCCGCCGCCTCTGCCCCGCCACCCCTGCCGCTTCTGCCCCTGCCGCCACCCCCGCTGCTTCTGCCCTGCTGCCACCCCCGCCGCTTCTGCCCCGCCGTCACCCCCGCCGCTTCTGCCCTGCCACTGCTGCTGCTTCTGCCCCCGCCGCCACCACCGCCGCTTCTGCCCCGCCGCCACCCCCGCCGCTTCTGCCCTGCCACTGCTGCCACTTCTGCCCCCGCCGCCACCCCCGCTGCTTCTGCCCCCGCCGCCACTTCTGCCCTGCCACCGCTGCTGCTTCTGCCCCCGCCGCCGCTGCCCCCGCGGCGGGGGAAGAAGCGGCGGCGGTGGCAGGGATGGTGGCGGGGGCAGAAATGGCGGCGGCAGAAGCAGCAGCGGGGGTGGGGGTGGGGGAAGAAGCGGCG